TGCATCCACAACAATTTAAATACAGATACGAAATTCAAACAAAGAAAAACAAAACAAAACAAAACAAAGAAAAACAAACAAACAAACAAAAAAAAAGAACAACAAACAGAACTGAAGAAATAAAAAAAGAAATCAAATAATAATGGCTCTGCCAACGGTTCGAGGCGTCCGAATAATTGACAAATCTCTCACCGAGTAATGATGCTAATTGCAGCCAGATAACTAGTAACTTTTGATGAATTATATTGATAGGAAAAGTAATAAACTTGTTTGATACTACTTTCCTATAATGTGTCTTATTTTTACCTCTTTAATAAATTATAAAAACGTTGCGTCGATCAATTCGGGCATTTGAAATTTGAAAGATTGATTCGAAAGAATTCCCCCTCCCCTCCTCCCCCCAACCCGGGAGGAAATTGCGTTTAATTGCCCCACCTGATCGCAATTTTTTTTATAAAACAACTCTTAGTGTGATCAAGAAATGTTGTGGAATTCAGTAAAGATTTCGGTGGCTTGGTTCAAATTCCCCACCCCACCCAGGAAAGGCTCCAATCCCCCATCCACGGGGTACCTACAACAGCCAAATGCCCGTGGGTTGTCCCCAGGGGGATGTAGAAGCTTTGAATCGATCGGCGCATAACGCGCCTTCTTGGTAATATAGAACGCCTGAAAATGCTGACTCTGAGGTTTTATCGCTCAAGTTTATAAATATTTCGTTGACCACTGAGTGCGATAATCTTTTATTATACAAGCTTTAAAAACAGTCATATCCTATAGAAGAATGTTCTCCCAATACCAGTTACCAATGCTAGCTAAATTTTTTAGTGACATATCAGGGCCATGTCATCTCTAGCAGTGGTATTGATAATACGGTTTTTGTTTTGTTTTGTTTTGGGTTTTCTTTTTTTCAACAAAGATTTGCCGATTGACTGGTAAGCTGTAATTTTTGCTTTTTCTGCTGAGCTGACCAAGAACCACCTCTTGTCCACTTCACTTAGTTCAGCGTATGGCCATGTGCATCAACGTGATGCTTCTTCTTTCTCCTGGAGCAGATGCAAACAGTGTTTAGTTGACCAACATTGTTATTCATTCGATGTCCCTTCATATTGAGCTATTAACTTTCATGACACGCCATTCTAATTCGATAGGTAAGTCCATCAATAGGGTCCCGTTGCCACTGATGCTCGTCAAAGACTTGGTTTCCCATTGGTCAAGACAAACAGCAATTTGCGCCTCTTTTCAGTTCGCTAGCTGGCTCGCGGTCGATCTGATTTTCATTGCTATCGTTCAAATAAGCGGAAAAGGCTTTCCTTGGGGGAGTATGGTTTGTGAAGGCTATAATGATGTAAACAGGAGAGAGTAAAACGAAAAATGCTTCAGTGAGTAAAAATATTTTGCTTCCTTTTGGCCAAGACTAAAATGGATTATTTTAAAAACAGTTTAGAGTGGTTTGGGCCTTAGACTAACTGATGGTATATTACTTCACGGTGTTCCTATCATGGGGCGTCTTTAGCCATATATAAGTAAGCCTTGAGACTCAAATTACCATTTAGTTTGATAAAGCCTGTGTCTCACGTTTACGAGGGTCTCAATGGGGTTAACCGATAGCCGTAAAACCGCCAAAATATGTAGAAAGAAGTACATAACAAAAATAGTTAATATTTACTTTGGCAGCAGGTGTCCCACTCAAATCCAGGTTCAATAGGAAATGATGCTATAAAAGATAGAAATAACATACAAAACATGACATAAAGGAAGATTCAAAATTCGTCGATACCTCAGCTAATCCATTAAGGCAAGGGATTATAAACTAAGTCCAGTAAGAAGGATACATTATAGTGCTGAATAATTGTTGTGAAAGGCTGTCTGTAAACCAACCTCACGAATTCAATTAGGCAATGGAAACCAAACACATAGGCTTGTCGCTTAAAAAGACATTTCTGTCTGTATTGAAGGGTAAAAAAAATCGCCCACACACAAATGAGAAGCAGAATCACTGTGTTCAGTATGAGATGGTGTGAAAATCGGAAATTAAAGACTTCGAAAAGGACATCAATTTCTTTCAATGGGGGAAGGCAAACTGAATGCAAAGGAAAGCTTTTCTGTTCAAATCATGGACATTTTTTTCATAATAAAACGAGAACAAATTCTTATCGTTATCCATGGATATGTTATCTCTTCATCTTTGCCCATCATTTGAAAAGGTAACAAAAAGACAAAATAGTGCGTATATCTAAAAAAATAATAGCAATCATAATAATTATGCTGATGCATATAGTAATGATAAACACCATAACCTCCAGTTGTCTGCTGCGCCCTACAAAAACTGTTTCTTAAAATCTTCAAGGAAAAAACAAATTAATGATAAAAACAATCATACAATCATGAATCCATATAAATTCGACCGCTCTTAACAACCCCTCTCAAATGAAGATCACCTTGGACATGTGAACTACTGCTGAGCTAGCTACGGCAAAATTCACACGTTTGATTCCACACTGCACTTCGCCTAAAAAGATCATGTTCACAGCGAAATCGGTTCCGTGAGGCAACGGACGTTTAGACAAAGTTATCGACAAACCCTATTACCAAAGGATTGTCTGTTTGGTTTCAGGTCTGTATGTCAGATGCTTGATATGACTACCTTGCCTTCATGGCAAGATATGACACAATTCTGGACCCAAAACATCAGAGGGTCATTTTTGACCTCACTATAATTACATCAAATTTATCATGATTGAAAACTTGTCCTCTACTTTGATGTGACGGAAGTATAAAAGGAATCATGCCCAGCCCCGTGAGAGATTTGAACTCTCGACCCCTGGTTTACAAGACCAGTGCTCTAACCACTGAGCTAACGAGGCGACCACTAATGAACGGTCTCACGAAAATGGCATTGGAAAGTATAAATGACATGAGTCTGTTAGCACGTGGATTTTTTATTTTTTATTCTTCAAGACTACCAAAATGCTTCAACTTACTGATGCCAGAAGATAACTAATCATTCATGTAGGACGGCAAATCTACCAAACCAGCTCCTAAATCAGATATACCAATGAGAGATGATAGCCACTGGGGGCTATAATCAGACTGACTGAGGGTTCAAGAAGGTGGGAAAAGTGCATTGAATTGAAAATAAGCCGTTGAAAATGACGTTTTAAAGTAACGACGACTTAAAGATCGTCAGTCCAAGCTTTAGCATGTAAAAAATGTTTTTCGATTTTGTTACAAAAATAGTTAATCACGATTATGCTCAGATTAAACATTAAAAGAAGCGAAAAATTGCAAATTTAATTGTTAACAAATGGCCTGGTGAATGGAAAATTCAGTTGAAGACGTGCACTTGATTATGCGATATCTACGGCTGAAAACGTAACTTTTCTAAGACATTGTAGTCAAACAGCAATGAGGATGTGATCTCCGATTAGGATATCATTGAACACGATATCCAGAATTGCGTTAAGACTTTTTTAAACATCTACGCTCAGCAAAAGTGGTCAGAAAGTCTTATAAGAAGTTATCACTTTTGCAGGTCCTCGTAAAGCGGTATGAACTGCTTTGCGACTCTCTTTCTATCCGAAGTTATCTTCAGCCATGCCATTCCCACAATGCAAAATCCAATGAACACACCCAACGAGGCAACAACAGGAATGTTGAAACCTGATGAAGGAAAAGTAAGAAAATCGAGCTTAGTTTAATCATGTCATATCATCCGAGGAGGGTGGACCTGAAACATAGTGAGATACACCTGTGAAAATTTGCAATGTTATTAAGTTGATACCACGAAACTAATTAATCCTTTGTTGCGTGGTTTGTTTGTTCTACCAGCCAAGGGGTTGAAACCGCGTTCGCAAGTTTTGGTCGGTCAGCTCCGATATGTGCCGTTGATTTGGTCGTCCAGTTGGTCTGTAGATGCGATAAACTAGTCGTTTATGAGGAGTTGCTAAGTTATGGAATGGTGACGTTGGGAATGAAGTTAAGTTACCAAGTCATGTCTCTCAAGTCATTCTTTGAATACATTTTAGTGTAGCACTTGTTTGTTTATACTGAGACTGCGGTAGAATCATTTTCTGCTGCTTGTGTGGTCTGATCATAAGTGTGAGAGTGGCCCTGCAATAGAATGTCCATTTTTACTGACGGCTGTCGTTTTCAGGGCGGACTTTCTCTCACCTTGACGCTCAGGCTACAGCGGTGTCGATTCTCACTCCTGAGTCAAAACCATCTACCGAGTAATTTTTTTGTCTGGACTTAAGATATGTCTTGAACACCTGTTCAGATATTTCTGCATCTTGCTGTTAGCATTGCCAAATACTTTAATACATTTACTTCAAATACTTGCCTGTATTAACTTTGGGCTTACTCTCATCCAAGGCAATCGCTTCCGCCTCTCTGTTCTCGCGGTTCAGTGCGATAGGACCTTGGGCCAGAGCGTATTTGTTACCCGGGTTGTCATGAAGAACCTTCTCGCTTCGTCGTCTTCTCTGTACGCAGCCTTGAGCACATCTTGAGGCAGGATCTGCGGCGTCACAAATTTGGACCTCGCAATGGAAAAACACAAACGTGTCCCTCCCGACGTATTGGAAGGCCTCCAGGCTCCAGCGCTGAGACTGGTTGTCTGGACTGTCATGGAATTGAAGCGTGTCATCACTGTCGACCGAGCACCTGCAGAAAGTGAGAAAATAAGACCAGTTCTGTAAAGTTTGTCGGTTACAAGTTTATCAAAAGCACTCTCACGAATCACCCTTGCCAGACAAACTTTTAACGTATTTATTTATTAATTACTGGTGAGGTTCAGTTTTGTTCCGTGACTTGTAACTGAGTGGATAGTGGTGTTAAAGTTGTAGCTAAGAATCCAACCTTAAAACCACGAATCCAAAGTTAGAGCTACGCATCCAAAGTTCACAAAGGTAACTTTGGATCCTTTGTTATAACTTAAACAGAAATATCCACTTTTTTTTCTTTCATTTATAATAGTAGTCAGAGGCCACCGTAGTTTTGACTGTCTCTTGGGATAAAAGCTCGAGTGATTGGAGAGATGCATGCCCTCTAATTAGTTTCAATCAATCAATGAATACTTTATTTAATAAAATGAGAGGGGAATATTTTGGCTCTTCAACGAAACTATTGAAGTTGATTTGTAAGAAAGAAAGAAAAACATTTTGGTAAAAAGAATAAAAAAAGTTGATACTGGCTAAAAAATATATTGTTCTGGACGTTTCGGCTACTACTGTTGCCTTCTTCAGCAAAGATAAAAATGCAAAATGGCTAACGGCGTCCTGCTTGGTATATTATTTATGTCCACAATGTGTGATAAAACTAAATCTCGAAGGAATGTTTTAAAGTGTAACAATATACCAAACAGGACGCCGTTAGACATTTTGCATTTTTATCTTTGTTATGGAAGGCAACAGGAGTAGCCGAAACGCCCAGAACAATATATTTTTTGGCCAATGTCAACTTTTTTCTTTTTCACAAAATTTTTTAATATGCCTGGCTAAACACCGAATATTTTTAAAGAAAAACATGGTTAAAAAAGAGTAGTTGCATAAGTAAACCCTCGAGGTTACAAGAAAACAGTTATTCTCCTTATCCTCAAGTTTTCATGACATAAAAAATTTGTTATTCCCTCGCCTTCAACTTTCAATTGGCAATGGATTTTTTGAGGCAAAACTTTACCTACCCGTCCTTAATAATATCATATCTGGGCTGAGAATTCCTGTCCTGATTGGGGGTGGCATAGCAGTTCAGGGCTAAGATTGACAATGTTGAGTCCTCGCTGTCGACACGGGTTTCAAAGTACACTCGTTCACGGATTGTGAATTCAACAGGGAAGTCATCCTGAGAGAAGGGAGCAATGAATCTGATGGAAGGAAAGAGTTGAAATACAATTAGACCTTACTTCTTGAGGCTTGCGTCTATTCGACATGAACAAGTGATTTTCTTGAAGAAAAGCGATGTACAAACTCAGAAAAGTTAGTAATAATTTTATGCTAAAATCTATGTTTGGAGATTTAAATACCGAAATGGGCCTTTCTGGTGTTAAAACGTCCTCTCGGTCGCCACTTTCTATCATTATTAAAATCCTTTTAAGCACATTTTGGTTTCAAAAGTGTCAGTCGAAAAATTGGATCGCACTCATCAGCATCTTTCTAACATCTTGGCTTTGTGGTGATTATAAGGGCAAATCAAGAGAAGGCAACCCTTAAATTTTCAGTAATTGTATCATTTTAAATTTTGAATAAGCTACGCGCAATAATTTGAAAATCGTAATTTGATAGACTTCTTTTGGAGCTAAAAATTAATTTCGACAATCTTTTCAGCACTCGCAAATTTCCTTGAAGGAACTGCGCAATTGCAAAAATTATGTAGGTTAAGATCGAAAACGCATTACATCGGAATCCAAATCTTATCTTTTTTTTCAAAACAACAGTCACACAGTGTCATGCCTCTAACATAAAGTTATCTTTTTCCCACACAAATACAACTATTTCCTCAAAAAAGGCTTTGTGTTCGACCTCATATCTAGAAATGACCCAGTCAAGTGCGATAATATACAATTTGCATAGTAGCAAATGGAATAGACCATATTCACGATTGTATAGATTTGTCTTACTGAGAACTTCGGAACAAATCCAAACTGAGAGTAAACTTTCCAAATCCCCTGGAAGAAAAAACGATCTTCGTGCTTGATGGCCTGATTCCAATGGAGGACACCGCACCCCAATTGGAGTAAAAGCAGTGGAAGGGGATCATAGCCTGGCGCAAGCGCGTCACAATCTTGTTCTCTTCTGTAGGTATTTCGGACACCATGTTGCTGTATATAACGTAATCTTTATTATGCTTCAAAATGGTACCACACTTTCCAGTTTCGGTATGAAGGAAAAAGTGAGTCTTGTTTTCAGTGGCTGTGCAGTTCGCGTCTATTAGTCTCAGGTGTTCACGGTCAAGACCCAAGAGGAGAGACTTGGGTAGAGTAATAGTCATTTCGTCTTGGCCACAGTCTACTTCCACTCCCGCGGCTGTTGAAATAAAATATCAGATTTCATTTTAAGACTCTGTAGAGGTAAGATGCCAATATGGCTAAACGCTTAAGGGCAACATACAGAATACAAAAATAGAAACCTGTATTGTCAAAATCTGACTGCGACATTAAGTAGCTGCGAAGGATAGTTGATTTATAGAACAAAAATGCTCAAGAATAGGTCACCAATGATAAATAGTCTCCGTGCTTAAAAAAGACGAGATTTTTTGATCACTTCCCTCACTCTCTCCCAAAATGATTTTTATTGCCATTTCCCTCACGGTCACGTCGCCGTCATGTTATAGTCGTGTAATCTGCGCAATTGCTCAAGGCTCTAGACGAAGGAAAAACTTGTACTTTGAAATATACGAACAACTTTCGTTTAAAATCTGACAGGGATGTTAATTATGATAAACCCGTATTTGGCTAGAAGGACACCAAAATTTAAAGATCAGAAAGCCGATCGCCATAGACTGTTACTTCGAGGCCATCCTGTAAAGTGCTCATCATTCACTGTTTCTACCAAATGATCAAACAACATGTTAACAACCTTTTATTCAAACTGTATGGAAAATTGCTCCATTAGATTATTTCTCACCAATACAATGGCGCTTGTCTCGTGCAACGCTTAACTCTGGATCTGAGCAAGAGCAGTAGTAACTCCCCATAGTATTCTCACAGATATCTTGACAGTGGTCCTTGTTCTCCTGACACTCATCAATATCTGAAAGACAAATTTAAGCCATTCACACAAGAAAAAATTTCTCATTATATCTGTAAGGAATATGATGAGCGGGAATCGCCATTTATCGAAAATATATTCCTGAAAACAAACAAAAAAACTTGAACAAGTGAAATACTCACCGACTTGGCAGAGATCGCCAGTGACACCGGGAGGACATATGCATTTGAAGGTATTGTTCCCATTATCCACGCAAGTGCCATTGTTGGCACAGGGATATTCTGAACAGGGGTCTAAACCTTAGAAATAAGGATAAAAGTTAAAAGGTAGCAAATGGAATTGAAACATACCGGAGTAGATTACGAAACCTCTCATGCGTGACGAAACACTTTGCCTACGTCGAAATTCTCACATCAAAAAAGAGTAAGATTCTCGGAAGTGGAATTTCAAACTTGAACAAGTGAAATACTCACCGACTTGGCAGCGATCACCGGTGACACCGGGAGGACATATGCATTTAAAGGTACTGTCTTCATTATCCACGCATGTGCCATCGTTGGCACAGGGATATTCTGAACAGGGGTCTACACCTTAAAAAAATATGTAATAAAAGGATAAAGACCTCCGACGAAGGTATAAATTTCTGGCGTAAACTGCAAAAGTTCTCATTAGCGAGGAAACATATCGTTTGCTGTATACATAAATACATACATACATACATACATACATACATACATACACACATACTTTATTGGCTCGTCCACGCGGGGCTTTTCAGAGTGAATGTTACACTACAAGTATAAAGTGCTTGAAGACCCCAACTGGAATTAAAAAGACCAGTTGGCTATTTACTCAGCGCAGCCGAGGGGTTATACTCGGTAATTTAGTGTTAACAACTGGGTTGAAAACGTAAATTAGCCACCGTAAAGGGTAAAAAGGCTGACGTTTCGAGCGTTAGACCTTCGTCGGAGCAATTAGAGGAATTGTGGGTTGTGTGTGGATTTATATGTAGAAAGTGGAGCTACGCCATTGGTGGGAGTTATACTCGGGGCAACCGAAAACCAATCGAGTGAGTAGCAGGGCGGAGGACTTGAGTCCGAGACCACCAGATTACAAGTCCAGCGCCTTAAGCACTCAGACACGCCGCCCCAATAGAGAGTTTCAGCTTTTAGGGAATGGAATTTTAAGTCTTCTCTTCTTTTAAAAAATCTGTCAATTTCTACGTCTAACGTGTAAAGTTTTTGGCCGTTTTACGGCTAACGGTTAACCCCATTGAGACCCTCGTGAAAGAGAAATGTTAAATACGTTTTCTTTCAGAAGAAGGCGAGGGTAACTCAGCGTGATCGTGGTGAGCGGCGAAAGTCTGTCTGTCTCTTAAAAATATAGAAGTATGAAATGACATGCAAGTTGGGGCATAGTCGGTTGCGTAACGCATCAAGACCAGACTCGCGCAAGAAAAATGTTTGATGATTATAAAAGAGGATATTCAGAATAAACTTCACAGGGTACTCACCACCGGTCGTTGTGGATTCATATTTCGCTTCAAATCCACGATCAACTGTTTGTCCAGGATGGAACATCACAAACATTTGGTTTCCACTCGACAAATGAGTTTCATTCCAAGACGACCCCTGACAAAATCGCCCAAGCAAAGGCGAACTTGTTGACCCACCATCATAAAGCTCCACATAAGAACAAGAATCCGAACAATGACTGTCTGAACACTCACTTAAGACAAAATCAGTAAACGTAAACTTTACAATTTTGTCAGCTGGCGCGGTAATGTTCCAGGTACAATCTCTGGATGCAGTGTAGTTACTCTTTGGGTAGTTTGTGCTGCTTATTTTCCCGCTGCCTGAGAGAGGAATTGCTTCCCTGGGACAAACTGTAAACAATGAAAAAGGAGCATGTGAGTGTGACAGAATAAGCATAGGCTGTCCCGAGCGTTCAGTTGATAAAACGCAATGCCATATTGAACAGAAACGAGGGAGGGGTGGGTCATGTCAAAAATGTGGTAAGAACAAAAAAGTGGTACGCGAGGCGCTGCCAAGTGTCACTGATGAACTCAGTGTGACATCATCTGGTATCTCTTCCTGAACAGACGGACAGCAACGTGGAATCTAATTGTTTCATATACCATGAAGAAGCAAATTGTTGTAAATGGTGAAGTCATTTATGCCTCTGTTCTCCAATAGGTGATAAATAACATCTAGTCAAAATGCTTATCACATAACTGTTGATTCGACCAATGGTCAAAATCTATACAGACCAAAACGGCTCAAAACTATACTCTTTAGGCTGATACATTCCAATATGGTATTTATATGGACGTAGCCCCAAGGCAAGAATATGAATATTTGAAACTCATCACGGAGACCAATTTACATTATCAACTCAGTTGATGAAACCAAATTATCTTGTTATACTCTCCGACCGACGCAGCACCACAGTTTCTTTGGAAACTTACCACCTTTATTTTTTAGGTTAACATGGCTTCCCAGTACGTTACCGCTTACACTATACATCAGAGATGTTCGCATTCACCCTGAGTTGATAACAGAGAGAGCCCCCACTCTTATTAACTAAGCTCCTTATCATTTCTTGTATGGGTGAATTTATTGCATGTAACATCTTCTCTCAGCGAACTCTTAGATCCCACGAAGTTGTTCCCTCTACTTACTTGGAGGACTGTAGTTCAACAGTCTGTAAGTTGCCTCAAATCCGTCAAAATCCATGCTTGTATCATCGGACACAAACACCACCCTCAGGCTTTCGTGCAGTGAATAAAATATGACAGGAATAAACCTTGGTGTACCACATAGTTTTCCAGGCGGCACTTGATCACTGAAGCTATTCTGGACTTCCATATAATCACACGAGCAAGCAATGCCACCACAACGTTGAATATTATAGTCTGGTAATGAGAGCTCAACATGGTATCCTTGCTTCCCTATAATCTTCCAGCTACACGTCTGGTTGAATGGATAGTTTCTTGGATTAAAGGGAGTGGAGAAAGAACCTGATGTTTCATCGAGGACCACATCTGTTGGGCACACTGAAAAAAGACTGCCAGCTTTAGTAAAATGCATCTTATTTACTGTAAAAACTTAATTTACTGAATGAAAAATCTTAACGAAGCTTCATTTTCTCCGAAAACTGTTCTAATTTTGATGAGGTTTACAATCCACTGTGGTCAACTGAATGATTTCAAATACCGCCTACAGCTCCTTTTCCGTATGTTGGCGGTTTCCTACTTTAATCAATATAACGATTGTGAAATATAGCAGCTTGCGTTGGAGTAAAAGGCTTGACTATATGCATTTTTTTTTCTACAGCCTATAGCTGTTCAAAGATTGCTTACTTTATTATTTGCATGATCACTCGAAAAAATTCCCGCTCAGTTTAATAGGGGTACATGCTCAATATACTTCTATACTTCCGGTTAATAAACTACCATAGAAGAAAATTAAAGCTCTTACGTGAATCTTCATCTATCGCCTCAAAGGTTGCATTGAACCCTTTGTTTACAGGGCCGGTGCGAGATTCAAATCTCACTTGAATGAAATTTCCTTCGGAGTACACAGGAGGGGGAAGCTTTTGACCACAGATCTTAAAGTCATTAGGATTTCCTCCATGAGAGGCAACGTTTGTGATGAAGACTCGGGCACTATCTGCTGCCGCTCCAGCACAGTCATCGTTTTCACCTGCTACCAGGGTAAAATTCAAGAAGGTCAGTTTGATGATTTTCCCACCGGGTACGGTGATATTCCAGGTACAAATCCTGTTTGCGTCATAGTTGTTGGGAAAATTGAGGCTGGAAATGTGACCATTAGCAGCATTAATGGACTCTCCAGGAGGGCTGCAGGCTGGAAAAAAAGGTATCTTTTAGTTACTCTTTTGGTTTCTTACTCCAGACAAAAGAATTCCAGCAAAATCATACATGTTCAATACACCCAAACCGCTACGATTCGTCTACGGTCGTTGACAAATCCACACAGCGGAAGTGGAATCGTGTGTTAACGTACCGGAAGTCAAGGGGCGTGAGCAATAAGTGAAAATAAGTAGCATGAAAAGAGAAAATGACAACATAACCTTCCACGTTCTTAAATCGTGAAACGGCCGGAAGTCCATTGTCAGAATATTATAAATATTAAATTTAACTTTCTTCCTTCCTAAAGCGTTAAACAAGGGCATTAACTGTTGACGAATCGACACGATTCGTACGGGTCGACACGACTCGTCATTTGTAAAGTCGATCCGTCTCTCCGGAGGTCGATTCGCAAAAGAAGACAATACATACTTAAGCGTTAAATTAGAGTATTCAATGTTGACGAATCGACACGATTCACATGGATTCGGCATGTGATTACCTCGTTTCTAAGTGGTTTTTTTTTTTTTGAAAACGACAACTTTGGAGACGTGCGACCTGACAGCAATATGGCTGGCTTTTACGAAGATCGTGTTGGTTTTTTCGTATTTTCACAGTCCTTCATTTTGTAGGAAAGAGCTTTTTAAACTTATTTGGTCTCACATCGGTTGTTAAGAAGTATGCCTGCGGAGATAAAGAGGAATTTGTCGGTGGGAAGCGAAATAGGCTGGATGGCGACGACGCTTTTGTCTGTGAAACAGAGAGTTTGTTATATTTATTTCCCGAGCTTGGCGATGTTGAGGTTCGTCTCGCGGAATATTTTCTAAGTGTCTTGCAAGTCAACTTCCGGTATGACGGGTCGACATCAACTGAGACCAGTAGTTCAACTCGAGTCGAATCGAGTCGATTCGACAACATTTTCAACGACCCTTGGTAGTTACTTGCGGAATATTTTCTAAGTGTCTTGCAAATTGACTTCCGGTATGCGTTTCCATATAATGAGGGATAGTTTATCAGATTTTCGATTAACCACGAATCGACTTCCGGCAGAACGATTCGCAAGCTGCCTTTGACGAATCGTAGCGGTTTGGGTGTATTGGACAACATGCAGCGTGCAGATATCTTTTCAGCGAGAGCTACACACCTGGGCTCGACATCAAGCAAAGAAACTCGAAAGAGAGCTGTGTACCAACTGGCTTGCACGTGCACGCAAAGGTCATTACATTCAGCGAAAACAATGGCAAATGCAGACGATAATTGCAGTCAAAAAAATAGGCAAATAAAATAACAGAAGGTTTAAGAACTTTCTTGAAGTGTTTCCTTGAAAAAACAGATAAACAATCACGCAGTCACGCTACAAATACTACTTCTGCGTGGAATTTCTTGATGGTGGAAAGTGGAAAAAACATTTTCCAGTCTTCTTTTCTGGAAATATGGCGCAGTTAATGAATTTTATGGGGCTTTTGATATTTCTTTTCAAATGAGAGAGCCAGGGTTTCCCGTCATCCACGGTCTGCAAAAGTTGTTACACACGGCAACTTGTACGTCAACAAGCACGCGACATGTGACTTTAAAATCTCCCCTCCTGTTACAGTTTCCTCATTGTGAACTGTGCGATAATGTTAATAAACGATCAAATTATAGACTAATGAATGTTTTGTTCCGCACTAAAGCCCTATTTCCTGTTCTTAGCAAATCTACAAAGTAATAAACGACAGAATAAAATAATAAAAATCTCTGAAAACTTGAAAATGACAAATATTTTAAGGGCCGAGTTTGCGGAACGAAACGAAGCTCTCTTATTAAGCGATAGAAATATCTAGCATATATATAAAAACATGTTAATTAAAAGCGGATCAAAACGTCACTGAACCGAATTTTCCGGGTCAAGCAGAACATTCTATTGCTTGAGACTTACGCCATAGCTGCCAATTGAAAAGCCGTTTCTTTTGTTTCTCACAGAAAATAAAAATATTTGACTAATGAGTCATTCAAAATTAACATTTCTTAAGGTTATAGAGGACGTGTAGGTGAAGGGAAGTTAGAGAAGGAGGGATGGTGGAGGGAAGGGTGACAGGGGACTGAAGAAAGAAAGAAAGATAAAGTCTACTATCATTATCAATTTAACGCGAACCCTAATAAATTCAACATTTCAAGTAAAAAAAGATGACAAGTTACTGTATTGTTTCAAAATTGGAGTGCACATTCTTCGATATTTTTTACCATGCCCTCCGCTGATAATATTGAGAACTAAGGAGTGCTCTCTATGAATCAGAAATGTATTGTCTTCCTTGGCATTCAAGTAGCGCAACTTGATGAATGAGCGGTAGATTACAGCTGATTTTGGCCACGAAGGAAATGAAAAAGAAGAGCTATCAGCCTATCATTGATCTCGACTAGGATTCCAGTCGAGAATTAAGTGTTGTTTTCGAAGACCAGTATTCTTGTGAAGTTTTTACGAGATTTCTTGCATATTAGCACATTTTTCGTAAATTTGAAAGTAATTTTGCAGACTTCGTCTGCGGCGCAATGAGTCCATTGTTGAGAGATGTCAAGGAGGAAATAAATAATCAGGGCCGTAGCCAGACTTCAGAACAAGACGAGGCAAGTTTCGAGCGCCGAAGGTCGAAGGCACGAATTGCGTGGAATTTTTCTTCAGAAAAGTCAATCTTGGGCCAAAATCAAGACGAGGCAATTGCCTCGCCTTGCCTCATGCTAGCCACAGCCCTGATAATCAGCAATACTTTCATTTTATATTACCTTCGAATTCAATTCCATTTGCTGAGAATGCCAAAAGTAGGAAGATTACAGAGAGTAGTATTCCTTGTTTCAAGTTCATCTTGAAGCCAAAAGGTAAACAGCAATACCAGACAAACTTGTTATTGTTAACACTCGTCGTTAATAATAATAATAACCTCTCCCACGCTTTGTTCGCCTTAATGTAGAGTTTGACACGGTTCATGTCCTGATAGACATTGGATTAAAACGTCTTTTGTTTTAAATACAATATAATAGTTTCCCTGATGAAATATATGATTAGAAACTGGAATAATAAAGAGGAAAAGTTAGTCTAGCGTTTCAATGAGAGCGTGCAAGAATGAAGGATTAACGCGTACGCTTCCTTTATTTTGTTCGTCTGTGAGCAAAACTGAAGTATTTAGAACTAGTTCAGTTTCATCGTCATTTCATCGGCTGGTTACGGCAATTATGTAGTGCACATCGTAGAGAAAGCCACTTAAGCAGTGAACTACAGATGTAAATAGTTAGTGGTTGAAGTTTTACGAAATATCCTTGGAAATTTTTCATTTTGAGCTAGTCTTTTTCGTTCCATGGCAAAAAAAAATACACATTTTCAAGAATTAGTGTGAAACTAGAAAGTTGGGCTCACAAGCTAAATTTCTTCGCGATGTACGTGCTCTTTGATTCGATCAACATACTCCTGTTGATAATACTTCAACCCGGAGCTAAGCAACATAGAAAGATACAATTGCAAATTAGATGTAAATAAGGTGCTTCTTTTTTAAAAGCTCAAGGAGCTCAAAATTATCGCCGATTTAGAGTTCAATCGAAAGGTTTTAACTCAGAAGGGTTTTTATTTCGATTTCGCCTAAGAGTTTGTTATTATATGTTTATTACTGGAGTGCCCCAAATTGGCTTTTAAGCGATCTGACTTCGCTTGTGAAGCGAAAATTGACGGCGTCGCAAACGATCCCAGGAATAACGAGCAGTTTTATTGGTCTCTTTAATTTATCACAGAGATGAAGCCATTTACCCATTAACGCCCCAAGAGCGACTACAATCTAATTTCTCCTTACACTGTCACGGCTGAATCAAATATCACAAGAATCAGTTAACCAAAGTGAGGAAAAGTGGCAGACTTACGAATATCTTAATTGTTAAACAAAGCCTCCTCATAAATGAAAGGGAAAGCGATCTTCGCAGTAATGAACACTACTTAAGCAGTAGTGAAAATAAGGCCTAAAAAAATTCAGTACACCATATGAGTACTTAGGGAATTTTACAGATAAAAGTGTGGAGATTGTGTATGCTGATGTCACGGCACAAAGGGTGAAGCTTCATTTTGCCTAAGATGTCATCATATTGCCCAAACAGCGTATAAAGTAAAACAGGACAGCGTATGAAGTAAAACTTCATAATTTACATGAAGAACTTGCATGGCCTCTCAGTCGATCTTAACTTTGAAAGCAATAGATGGTCACCCTGGCCATAGCCCAGCTCTAAATTCTCACAGAAAACTCTCCAGTAACCAAAATATTCTCTGGCTGCTTACGCCTGACGGCGAGCTAAGTTTATCGATCTTTCTCACAAAAATAACTACTTGAAAATTAAATAAATAAATAAAACCTATCGTAACCTTATTATCATCTTAACTGACGACATTCCAAAAGGGCTTTTATTGCCGATCCTAACAGTTACAATAATTTTGCGCTTTGGGGACTTAAAGCCCAATGCAAGTGATTTGGCTCCTCTGACACACTTCACTTGACAAATGACGCTATGAGTCGATTAACGCATTACCTTGTCCATGTCCCACACAATTGAAACGTTCATGAAAGTTGCAAGAAAACTGTGACAAATGAGATGCTGGGGTGAAGCATCGTTTTATTAAGAAACTGTGTTGTTACCATGAAATAAAATTGCAATTAATTTATTGTTTGTCGATGCGAGTAGAAATTAATGCCTGAAAATATGGTTACAAGTAACGGAGACGAGTCGTTCGACTCGAGTCGATTCGACAACATTTTCAACGCCATCTAGTAGCTACTTGCGGAATATTTTCTAAGTGTCTTGCAAATCGACTTGTGGTATGACGGGTCGACTTTAACTAAGACAAGTCGAATGGAATCGAGTCGAACAAGTGTCTTGCAAATTGACTTCCGGTATGCGTTTCCATCTAATGAGAGATGGTTCATCAGATTTTCGATTAACCGAGAATCGACTTCCGGTAGAACGATTCGCAAACTGCCTTTCACGAATCGTATCGGTTTGGGTGTATTGGACAACTTGCCGCGTGCAAATATCTTTTCAGCCAGACCTACACACCTGAGCCCGACACCAAGCAAAGAAACTCGAAAGAGTGCTGTGTACCAACTGGCTTGCACGTACACGCAAAGGCCATGACATTCAGCGAAAACAGTGGCAAATGCAGACGATAATTGCAATAAAAAAACAGGCAAATAAAATAACAGAAGGTTTAAGAACTTTCCAGAGGTGTTTTCTTGAAAAACAGATAAACGATAACGCAGTCACGCTACAATTACTATTTCTGCGTGGAATTTATAATAAGGAAAATACTCACGGTCTTGACAGCGATCACCAGGGACACCGGAAGGACATATGCATTTGAAGGTATTGTCTCCATTATTCACGCATGTGCCATTGTTGGCACAGGGATAGTCTAAACAGGGGTCCAAACCTTGAAAACGTATGATAAAAGTCAACAAGATATCTTAATGTGCGGTGTACATTCTTTATTGTTTCGTCCCCTGGGGCTTTTCAGAGTTAATGTTACACTACAAACATAAAACGTTTGAAAATCCCAATTGGCAGGAGGCAGACCAGTTGGCTATTTACACAGCGCAGCCGAGGAGTTGAACTCGGGACGACCGAAAAGTAATCCAGTAAGTGGCAGGGCAGAAGACTTGAACCCGGGACCACCAGATTACAAGTCCAGCACCCTAAGCACCAGGTCAAGCCGCCCAATAGAGAGTTTGAGCTTCTAGGGAATGGAATTCTAAGTCTTCTCTTCCTAAGAAATGGCCCAGACAACTCTCAATATCTGATAGACAAAGCTCTTTAGCTGGATCCTTTGAAAAGGAAAAAAACTAAAAACAAAACAAAACAGATAAGCTTAAAAAAGGAAATACTCACGGACTTGACAGCGATCACCAGAGACACCGGGAGGACATATGCATTTGAAGGTGTTGTCTCCATTATCCAGGCATGTGCCATCGTTGGCACAGGGATATTCTGAACAGGGATCTAAACCTTAGAAATAATGATAAAAGTTAACAGGCCACCGATGAAAGTAAACACTTCTGTAGTAAACTGCAAAACCCTTCATGTGAGACGAAAAGTTTTGTTTCTATCAAATTGTTCATATCAAAGGAGGGTTCGGGTTTCTCGAAAGAGGAATCTTTAGTTTTTCCTTTTAAAGAGTTTGTCCAGGCACTCATCAATTTCTCTTGCCTTAAATTCCCCATTTAGAGGATGGTAAGCGATAAGATCACCTTAGTACAAACAGAAAGAACCAATTAATTACCGTACTGATATGTGGAACGGTTTTGAGTGAATCTTGAGCTCCTGAGGGCGCTTTCACTGAAATTTAGGGATTTGTAGTAGTGAAAAAGGATTGGTTGTAAACAGAGATCAAATTTCCTAAATTAAGCGCAAAAATTGAAGTGTACAATCCCGTAAATTTTACAGTATATTGTCGATCTACAATGTATGATATTGCCACAGGGATAGTCTAAGCAAGGGTCCAAACCTCAATAGCGTAGGATTAAAGTTAACAGGCCATCAACGAAATTAAAAAATCCTGAAGTAGACTACGAATTAAACCTCTGATGTGCGACGAAGTATTTAATCTGCGTCTAAATTTTTATGTTAGGACAGGTTTTCAGCATCTTTGAAGTAGAAATCTAATATTTTCTTCTAAAGAGTTCGTCTGGAGAATCATCAATATCTAAAAGACCCGGCCCTTAAAATATGATGATATCAAATCACTACCTATCTAAAACATTATTCTTTCTAGAAAACCTAAGAAAAAAACAAAACAAGTGTACTTACTTTGGTAGGTATGCACTTGGCAGCGATCACCAGTGACACCGGGAGGACATATGCATTTGAAGGTATTGTTTCCATTATCCACACATGTGCCATTGTTGGCACAGGGATATTCTGAACAGGGGTCTAAACCTTAGAAATAAGGATAAAAGTTAAAAGGTCACCCACGAAACTAAAAATTCTTCTTTGTCCGTCCATTTTCCCATTGTTAATTTTACAAACTGTTAAAACAAGATTATGCGGTGTATTTCCCATTACATCATTTGGCATTTGAATTAGTGGAATGATAATCGTATTTAGTTAGTGGACGAACTTAGATCATAGGCCTTAAATTACTTGAGGGTAAGAGATGTATGAATCGAAGAGTAAGCAGACGGCACATGTCATGAAATATAAAAGACATATTTCTGAAACTGCGCGTTACCTTCATTCATGGCAGCTTTAATGTCGACTTTATCTTAAAATATGATGATATCCAGTCACCACCTATCTAAAACATTATTCTTTCGAAAAACTAAAAAAAAAAACAAACAAACTTTGACAAGCCCACTTACTTTGGTACTTACGGACTTGGCAAAGATCACCAGTCACACCGGGAGGACATATGCATTCGAAGGTATTGTTTCCATTATCAACGCAAGTGCCATCGTTGACACACGGATATTCTGAACAGGGGTCTAAGCCTTAGAAATAAGGATAAAAGTTAAAAGGCCACCCACGAAACTAAAAATTCTTCTTTGTCCGTCCATTTTCCCATTGTTAATTTTACAAACTGTTAAAACAAGGTTATGCGGTGTATTTCCCGTTACATCATTTGGCATTTGAATTAGTGGAATGATAAACGTATTTAGTTAGTGGACGAACTTAGATCATAGGCCTTAAATTACTTGAGGGTAAGAGATGTATGAATCGAAGAGTAAGCAGACGGCACATGTCATGAGATATAAAAGACACATTTCTGAAACTGCGCTTTACCTTCATTCATGGCAGCTTTAATGTCGACTTTATCTTAAAATATGATGATATCCAGTCACCACCTATCTAAAACATTATTCTTTCGAAAAAAACCAAAAAAAAAAACAAACAAACAAACTTTGACAAGCCCACTTACTTTGGTACTTACGGACTTGGCAGCGATCACCAGTCACACCGGGAGGACATATGCATTCGAAGGTATTGTTTCCACTATCAACGCAAGTGCCATCGTTGGCACAGGGATATTCTGAACAAGGGTCTAAACCTTAGAAATAATAATAAAAGTGAAAAGGTCATCCACGAAAGTAAAACTTTTTGTAGTAAACTGCAAAACCCTTTATGTGCGACGGAAAAATTTGTTTTTATCTAAACGTTCATATCAAGTGATATATTTATTAAACTGCGCGTTACCTTCATTCATCGCAGCTTTAATGTCGGCCTCATCTAGAGCAATGTCAAAAACTTTCATTTGAGCTATTTTGCCATTAAAGTATCTGGAGTCGCCAATCTTAACGCCCATTCGAACTTGCCCGTCGTTCGTTGATATTCTGTCAGTTTTGCCGATGTATTTTGTTTTAGACAAATGGCCATTGATGTACAAAGAGTTGACTCCAGTGATGTGATCATAAGTTGCCGCAACATGGGCCCACTGTCCCACTGGAAGTGCCTGATCAGTCAATATGGCATCGAAAAACGCATGATTTGGGTATTTGGTGATCCTGTTGAAGAACTTGCCGTTAACAATCCAAATATGGACTCCCCAAGCTCCGGAGTTCTTGTAGTTAAAGAGCGGTCCGTCTCGACCACCGGGCTGAACCCAGCACATCAGGGTTATAGAGTGCAGGGTGTCCAGTCCTCCGTCATTTGGGAACTCTATGAAACTGTTTGGGTTGCCTGAAAACTGGTAGGATCCATTGGTTTCTCCATGGGGTCCAGTTGTGAGCTCCACCTGCCCTAAAACTCCAGCTGGCTGCTTATTGTCAATTTCTCTTGCCTCAAATTCCCCATTTAGAGGATAGTAAGCAATAAGATCATCTTAGTGTACAAACAGAAAGAACGAATTAATTACCACCATGATATGTGGAACGTTTTTGAGTGAATCTTGAGCTGCTGGAGATGCTTTCATTGAAATTTAGAAAGTTGTGGTGGCGAAAAAAGATTGATCGTAAACTAAGAAACCGAATTTACTAAATGAACCGCAGAAAACTGAAGTACACATTCTCGTCAGTTTTCCAGTATATTGGCACAGGTATAGTCTAAGCAGGGGTCCAAACCTTAAAACCGTATGATAACAGTTAACAGGCCATCATCGAGATTTAAACATCGTGAAGAAGACTGCAACTTAAAACACTAATCATAGCCATTACAATTTTCTCAAACATGATTGGTGCATTAGCTGCTTTATTTATCACTAATCATTCTGTAGACCACTAATCGCACAGTTGGCTGTAATGGAATAGTTGAAGTAGCGCGTAGAACAGTTGTGAGCTCCACCTGCCCTAAAACTCCAGCTGGCTGCTTATTGTCAGTTTCTTTTGCCTTAAATACCCCATTTAGAGGATAGCAGGCAATAAGATGACCTTAGTTTACAAATAGGAAGAACGAATCAATCACCATACTGATATGTGGAACGGTTTTGAGTGAATATCGAGCTCCTGGAGGCGCTTTCACTGAAATTCAGGGACATGTAGTGGTGAAAAATGATTGGTCGTAAACAGAGACACCGAATTTACTAATGAAACGCAAAAAATTGAAGTGCACATTCCTGTCAATTTTACATTATATTGTCGATATATAATATTGGCATAGGGATAGTCTAAGCAGGGGTCCACACCTTAAAAACGTATGATAAGGGTAAACACGCCATTATCTAAATTTAAACATCCTGAAGAAGACTGCAGATTAAATCTCTTTTTTGCGACGACATATTTTTTCTCCGTACAAATGATTATATAAAGACAGGGTTTCAGCATCTGTAAAGGGGAAATTCTAGTCTTTTCTTCTAAAGAGTTCGTCCAGACACTCATCAATATATAAAAAAAACACCGGCCCTTATTAAAATGTGATGATATCGAGTCACCACCTATCTTAAACAGTATTTTTTCAAGAATAACTAGAAAAAAAAACAAACAAACAACTTAAACAAGTGTACTTACCATTTTTCTTACGGACTTGGCAGCGATCACCAGTGACACCGGGAGGACACATGCATTTAAAAGTGTTGTCACCATTATCCACGCATGTGCCATTGTTGACACAGGGATCTCTTGAACAGGGATCTAAACCTTCAAAATATATCATAAAAGTTAAAGAGCCACCAAGTAAATTGGAGTTAACTACAAAACCTCTCATGTGGGACGACAAATTATGTTTGCGTCCAAATTTTCACATCAATTACGAGTCTGGGTTCTTGGAAGTGGAATTTTAGTCTTTTCTTTTTAAGAGATCGTCTTTTGAAAAGTCATTTACCACGGAGTATCCATTTTCGCTTTGCTCTCTTCTCTTTCCGTCCATATTCCCATTGTTAATTTGATATACTGTCAAATGAAGAAACCGCGGAGTATTTCCCAAGACATCGTTTCGCAGAAGAATCAAGTAGTGGAATGATAAACGTATTTAGGTATTAGACGAACTTAGATCATGGACCTTAAATTACTTGAGGGTGAGATATGTTTACATCGAAAAGTTAGCAAACGACATATGTCTTGAAGTATAGAAGACATATTTCTTAAACTGCTCGTTACCTTCATTCATCGCAGCTTTAATGTCGACTTCATTTAGAGCAACGTCATAAACTTTCATCTGAGCTATTTTGCCATTGAATTGTCTGGAGTCGCCAATCTTAACGCCCATTCGAACTTGCCCGTCATTCGTTGATATTCTGTCAGTTTTGCCGATGTATTTTGTTTTAGACAAATGGCCATTGACGTACAAAGAGTTGACTCCAGTGATGTGATCATAAGTTGCCGCAACATGGGCCCACTGTCCCACTGGAAGTGCCTGATCAGTCAATATGGCATCGAAAAACGCATGATTTGGGTATTTGGTGATCCTGTTAAAGAACTTGCCGTTAACTATCCAAATATGGACTCCCCAAGCACCGGAGTTCTTGTAGTTAAAGAGCGGTCCGTCTCGACCACCGGGCTGAACCCAGCACATCAGGGTTATAGAGTGCAGGGTGTCCAGTCCTCCGTCATTTGGGAACTCTATGAAACTGTTTGGGTTGCCTGAAAACTGGTAGGATCCATTGGTTTCTCCATGGGGTCCAGTTGTGAGCTCCACCTGCCCTAAAACTCCAGCTGGCTGCTTATTGTCAAATTCTCTTGCTTTAAATTCCTCGTTTAGAGGATAGTAAGCGATAAGATGACCTCAAAACACGAAAGAAAAAAAGGAATTAATTGCTGTACTGATATGCGGAACAGTTTTGAGGGAATGTGACAGGACTGAAACAAACTACTTTCCAGGGTTATTTTAGAATCAGTAGAGTTCCTTTAAAACAATCACTCATGGTAAATTTCTTTATATTTTAGCAAAGGGGAAGAGCCCGTATTTTTAGGGGTAAAAGTATCATACTTTTTTGGCAATAGATTAAGAGTTAGTAGTCGTAAGAGCAACAGAATCGAATTTGTTTTTGGCAGTTACTGGAAAGCTAGTAGTCCTCTAAAAATAAATTATATTTAAATATGGAAAATGTCGCAGAATGACCCTGACTTCCGTAAACCCCAACTTCGCCACAATTACTTGAATATTTGAATCAGGAAGCTAGTGGACGAAACTTTTCATCAAATTAAAAAAGGCATGTTTCTTTTGAAGTGCGTTACCTTCATTCATGGCAGCTTGTATGTCGGCTTCATCTAGAGCAACGTCAAAAACTTTCATTTGAGCTATTTTGCCATTAAAGTATCTGGAGTCGCCAATCTTAACGCCCATTCGAACTTGCCCGTCGTTCGTTGATATTCTGTCAGTTTTGCCGATGTATTTTGTTTTAGACAAATGGCCATTGATGTACAAAGAGTTGACTCCAGTGATGTGATCATAAGTTGCCGCAACATGGGCCCACTGTCCCACTGGAAGTGCCTGATCAGTCAATATGGCATCGAAAAACGTATGATTTGGGTATTTGGTGATCCTGTTAAAGAACTTGCCGTTAACTATCCAAATATGGACTCCCCAAGCACCGGAGTTCTTGTAGTTAAAGAGCGGTCCGTCTCGACCACCGGGCTGAACCCAGCACATCAGCGTTATAGAGTGTAGGGTGTCTAGTCCTCCGTCATTTGGGAACTCTATGAAACTGTTTGGGTTGCCTGAAAACTGGTAGGATCCATTGGTTTCTCCATGGGGTCCAGTTGTGAGCTCCACTTGCCCTAAAACTCCAGCCGGTTGCTTATCGTCAATTTCCCTTGCTTTAAATTCCTCGTTTAGAGGATAGTAAGCGATAAGATCACCTAAGTACACCAACAGGAAGCACGAGTTAATAACCATACTAGTTCTGTGAAATGGTTTTGGGTGAGAATCGAGTTCTTTATGGACAGGATTTAAAGAAATGTGCTTGCTATGCTAACGTGGATTCAGTAAAGGTCATATAAACCAATCACTGATATCAAATCCCTATTTATGTTTTTTTTTTCGATAAAAGATGAAAAACCGGTGGTTTTAAAGGTAAGAGAATTGAATCTTATTTTGGCAATAAGAGAGCCAATAGTCTTCACAGTAAGAGAACTGAGATACATTAGTATCCACCTGCCAAGAAGACTGATACTTGTTTCCCGCAAACCGGTAGAGGAGAGATTTCGCATAGCACGTGTTGTAGCAGTAAATTTAATTGGTCCCTTCTGTAACAAGAAATTCTCACATTTTCTAGCAAGGAAGGAATTCCTAACCGAAACCACAGTCGAAACCTCCGTGCACAGTGGTAGGACATACTGCTAGGATCATTTTTCTTTGTTCCACCCTCGTGACAAGGTGAAAAACATCCTTGTCCATTTCTTTACCGAGCTCAAAAGTTACCATCTTTCTTTGTCGATTTACAAACATGACGCTGTTGACATTGTTGATTCTAACAGTATACAGGACGCGTGTCACTATATGAACTTGGTAATAAGCCTTGCTCACCGTAGAGTCTATGTGGCTCAGTGGTAAAGCATCGGAGCGCGGGATCCGAAGGTTTGAGGTTTTATTTCTCATGGGGACTCAGAATTTTTTCTTTGTCCCTCGCTCGTGACAAGATAAAAAAAACCTTCTTCCATTTCTTTACCGAGCTAGAAACTTACTCTCTGTCTTAATCTATGTTAATGTACTTCTAAACATTTGGTTTCTATATGCTGAACCCGGCAGAATGAAGCTAACCTTTACTGACCCCTCCTTCTCTTCAAATCACTTGAAGGTAAGAGATATTTTAATCAAAAACTTAGTGGACGAAATATGTCGTGAAATATATGTGACTTTCTTTTAACTGCACCTTACCTTCATTCATGGCAGCTTTTATATCGACTTCATCTAACGCATCGTCATAAACTTTCATCTGAGCTATTTTTCCATTAAAGTATCTGGAGTCGCCAATCTTAACGCCCATTCGAACTTGCCCGTCGTTGGTTGATATCCTCTCCGTCGTGCCGATGTATTCTGTTTTAGACAAATGGCCATTGACGTACAAAGAGTTGACTCCAGTGATGTGATCATAAGTTGCCGCAACATGGGCCCACTGTCCCACTGGAAGTGCCTGATCAGTCAATATGGCATCGAAAAATGCATGATTTGGGTATTTGGTGATCCTGTTAAAGAACTTGCCGTTAACTATCCAAATATGGACTCCCCAAGCACCGGAGTTCCTGTAGTTAAAGAGCGGTCCGTCTCGACCACCGGGCTGAACCCAGCACATCAGCGTTATAGAGTGTAGGGTGTCTAGTCCTCCGTCGTTGGGGAACTCTATGAAACTGTTTGGGTTGCCCGAAAACTGGTAGGATCCATTGGTTTCTCCATGAGGTCCAGTTGTGAGCTCCACCTGCCCTAAAACTCCAGCTGGCTGCTTATTGTCAATTTCTCTGGCTTTAAATTCCCCATTTAAAGGATAGTAAGCGACAAGATGACCTTAGTATAGAAACAGAAAGAACGAATTAATTACCATACTGATATGTGAAACAGTTTTGAGTGAATCTTGAGCTTCTGGAGGCACTTTCATTGAAATTCAGGGAGTTGAAGTGGTGAAAAACAATTGGTCGTGAACGGAAAATTAACCGAAAAAAATGGCAAAAAGTGTTCATTCACGTCAATTTTACAGCATATTGCCGATCTATAATATTGGTCAGTCATTTAGAATTTTCAGCTCCTGGTTTCGATATAGAACTGATCCAGAACTTGAAAACAGCAGCTCTTCAATCCAGGCCGTTAATACAAACAAACTGGAGATTTATTCTCCGGACCATGGCCAATTATTTTGAAATAGAACCCATTAAAGATCGACCTAAAATACTGATTGGCGATTGCATTCATTTTGTCGCAGGGACTTGTGTCAGCAACAGTTCACCTGCAAGAGTCCGGATGATTTGGGGGAAAGCCGGACCTCTGGATTGTGATCAAGGGACGAAGACGAGTTGCAAGGACTATTCCCTTTGTGTGAGCCCACCTTCATGAAATTAAGACTAGTTGTGATATAGAATTGAACATTATAAGTACAGCCAATGACCACTGCGTAACATAGGATATGGGTGACAAAGTGTTAAGTAATGTATCAGAGTAAAATAGTGTCGGGTTGTGAAAAAACTCAGCGATGATCGGCAAGTTTATATACCTCTGTTCACCTCCCTCCCTCTCTCTCTCTCTCTCTCTCTCTCTCTCTCTCTCTCCCTAGAGGTATGATGGGCACTTTTGTAACTTTGTTGTCTCTTCAGCTAAAAAATCGCCCTTTATCTCTATTGGGACCCGGTTTTCGTATTTCCTGAAACTAGACGTTGCTCTCATTCTGCCCTGTGAAAATCTTTGCCAGACTTTCAAAGCAAAACGCATTATAAACATTTAAACTGCGTTCAGGTTACAAAAGTTCCCTATGCCGTGGAAAGGTCTACTTTTTGGTCTTCAGTCACCAAATTTCTGCGGTATATAGGTATTTAGGAGGGTAGTACACGCCATACAATTCACTCTTTTTCCACCCTAAATTTTGAGTTGGCCATTGCGTGTGGAAAAATTTTTATCGGTTGCCGCATACACCTCTCATGTCGACTTGAAGTTTCCAGTTTGATGAAAACGCCTTCTTGCAGACAGCACAATTCGAAACTTTATTTCGTCCTTGTTATTGAGTCAAATTTTATTAGATTTATACCAATGGTAGGTATACTATTTTAGTTTATGATTCTGAAATTTTGCTGCTTTTAGTTAAATCTTTATAATAGAGACCTTAAGATTGAGGTTTTTCGGCATTTCCCGCGAACCGCGAACGTCAAGAAGTCACGTGACCAGAGCCTTGCCGTCAGGTTTGCGGTTTGAGGTTCACGTTTGTACGTCAAGACCACGCTCTAGAGGCAAGTGATTTACCGCAAGTTTTTTTGCACCCTAAAACATCACAATCCCACGTTTGAGAGGAAATACTACTGTTTAGAACTATTTCGCTTATTAATTATCGAATTCTTTTTATAGAAACGTGATTTTGAAGACGATTTCTCAGCTAAAATAGAAGTGAACAAACGAATGAAAACAAACATGGCAGCCGGCTATTTGTTGTTGGAACTGATTTGCCAGTCGGATTACTTTATGGTTAAACTACGATAAACAAATTACAACAAAAGCAGATTTCTGATGATATGTAAATGCATTCTTTGTTTCCTAGATGGCTCCGTTCAGATGGCCAAGCCTTAAAAATGACATTGCCCTGGCTAAAGAAGTTGCTTCCAGAAAGCCACAAACGCATCAGGAATGGGACGAATTAGCAACTATTCTCAGTGAAGTCTTTAATTCCGACAGCAACAGATTTGAACTAAAGGGGCGCGGATGCCGAGAAAGATTGACAAGGCATAATTCACCAATGCTATCACACGCGGATCTTAAGTCCCAAATATGGGCAGACTAACGTGAAACCGCTAACTGCAAACCGCGGTTTAGTGTTTGCGGTAAGATGGCCAAATCTCGATCTTAAGGTCTCTATTAAAATATAGCTTTCATGAAGGGGTTGGTATATGAAGAATGCAAAGTTACGGAAGTGCCTGTTTAGCAGGATGTTCCGTCAGTGAGAGAAGCGCACTTTTTATTTTAATGAAACATCAAATGGTTTGGTGAAGAACAAGACCTAAATAACAGCTTTCATCTTCGAACTGCGTATGTTCTTCAAGACCAGATTTTTTTCATCCAGAAATAAAGGAAAAAAAAAGAAGAAAATCAGTAAGCCACAACACATCTTTAATTTGTGTTGAAGTCACTTATTAGATGAATTGCTCAGAATCGTTATATTTGATTGAGAAGGATGCATGTTTTTCCTTTCACAAGGCAAACTTTGAAATTGTGTTGAAGTCTTTTCAGTTAAACAGTTCTTTATAACCCTGATGCTATAAAAGGTTTTGTGAAGTTCTTGATTCACCCAATTGACTTTTAAGGCAAGGCAAGTTCTGCTTCACTTAGAAAAGAAAAAAAAAGGTAGATTGGAAATGCAATTCGGCCATCAAAATGTCCTGCAACTGATCGAAAATGTAACAATCTTTGGAGACACGTGTTACTCTGCTGATAGGAATTGCTATTTAAATACAAAAAAAAAACACCCCCTTTCACAAGAAAGCTCAACGTATGTTTTTGTATTTGACTAAGCTCAGTACTTTTTTATGCTATTTGTAGACCGACGCTCTGACTTGACCTGGCATCAGCCGAAAGATTTGGGTTACTCAGTTGCGTTTTCTAGCTTCCATAAATAGTGTTCATGAAAGAATAAAAAATTCGTTTCTATTCACGCTTAGACCTAACAAGACAACCAAACGTAAACTACTGAGCGCGCTAAGAACTAACGAAACAATCAAACGTAAACTATAGAGCGCGCTTAAAAACTGACAAAACAATCAAACGTAAACTACTGAGTGCGCTTAGACCTAGTGAAACAATCAAACGTAAACTACAGAGTGTGCCTAGAACTAACAAATCAATCAAACATAAACTACAAAGCGCGCTTAGAACTAATTAAACAATCAAACATAAACTACAGAGCGCGCTGAGAACTGAGAAGACAGTGAAACATAAACTGCAGAGCGCTCTTAGAACTAAAAAAATAATCCAATGTAAACTACAAAGCGCGCTTAGACCTAACAAGACAGTCAAACAAACTACAGAGCGCGCTTAGAACTAACAAAATAATCAAACGTAAACTACTGAGCGCGCTTAGACCTAACAAGACAATCAAACATAAATTACAGAACGCCCCTAGAACTAACAAGACAATCAAACGTAAATTACAGAGCGCGCTTAGTCCTCACAAAACAATCAAACTTAAGCTACAGAGTGCGCTTTGACCTAACAAGACAGTCAAACATAAACTACAGAGTGCACTTTGACCTAACAAGACAGTCAAACATAAAATACAGGGCGCGCTTAAACCTAACAAAACAATCAAACGTAAACTACAGAGTGCACTTTGATCTAACAAGACGGTCAAACATAAACTACAGAGCGCGCTTAGACCTAACAAAACAATCAAATATAAACTACAGAGTGCACTTTGACCTAACAAGACAGTCAAACATAAACTACAGAGCACACTTAGAACTAACAAAACAATCAAACATAAACTACAGGGCACGCTTAGGCCTAACAAACCAAACAAACGTAAACAACGGAGCGCACTTTGAACTAACAGAACAATTAAACACTTACGACAAAGCGCGCTTAAAACCAACAAAACAATCAAACGTAAACTACAGAGCGCGCTTAGAACTAACAAAAGAATCAAACGTTAACTACAAAGCGCACCTAGAACTTTCAAAGTACAAATTATCCCTCACATATGGAGGACAGAGGTGGCAAAGGATTACTTTTTCTGCAATCTGTTGTAACTCTGGCCCATTCTCCGCGTCCTTGCTTTATTTTTCCAGTGTCGGTGCACGTGGATGACGTGTGCACGACGGGTAGTTGTCGAAACGTACTCGTAAAGCGATGAAGGAAAGGAAAACGCACCACTGAGGGATACAATTGGCATTGAAAGATTTTTATTCACGAGTTGCTATGCATCAAAAAACGAACGAGTGAGCGCAGAGAACGAGTGAGTTTTTTTTATGCATGGCAACAAGTGAATAAAAATCGTTCAAGCATTTTCCATGGTGTAATATTTTTATTTCATACGTACTGAAATTTTTTTCTTGCTGAAAGCCGTACGCTTGTTGCCCTCCTCTGTGAAGTACTATCGTTCATGTTTACGATTGGACGAACGATGTATTTTCAGTCATTCGCTCAGTATGTATGAAATAATAATGTGCCCTGCACAGTTACAAAACTGCATGTCACGTTACAGAAGTGCTCCTTTGTGTTACAAAAGTGCCTGAAAAAAGAAACAAAAGTGTCCTTTCCTCTGGCTCTCTCTCCCACCTCATGGCTATTATTTAAAAGCGGAAAAAAAAGACTTGCCTCCAAGGCTCAGGTGCTAATACTCTATGCCGCGGTTTTACGTTTAATGACCTCTAAAATTACAGTGACCTTCTTTTGTTCAGAACAGGAAAAAATTCTCATTCGAGCGCTTACGTTCAAATAACTCAGTCAATCGTTAATCTTTTGTATTTACTGAAACACAACATGTTAATTATGGAATTTGGATAAGTTGCGTCAGAGAACACTTAAGTTATAAGTACAGTTAACGGTTTGTGCACTCTAAAATCTTTTTACTATGTTAATTAGCTATCAGTCCAAGAACGCTTCTGCAAGGGCCATTTAATAACTTTACTATCCCCGAAGCCATTTGGAAAACTTCAGTGTTTATTGGCTGACAAATATTTTGAGGACCGAGTTTGTGGAAGGAAACGAAGCTCTCTTATTAAGCAATAGAAATATCGAGCATATATTTAAAACATGTTGATTAACAGCGGATCAAAACGTCACTGAACAGACTTTTCCGGGTCAAGCAGAACATATTATTGCTTGAGACTTACGCCATAGCTGCCAATTGAAAAGCCCTTTCTTTTGTTTCTTACAGAAAAAAATATATTTGGCCAATGAGTCATTCAAAATTAAAATTTCTTGAGGTTATGGAGGACGTGTAGGTGAAGGGAAGTTAGAGAAGGAGTGATGCCGCGGTTTTGCGTTTAATGGCCTCTTAAATTGCAGTGACCTTCTTTTGTTCAGAACAGGAAAAAATTCTCATTCTAGCGCCTACATTCAAATAACTTAGCCAATCGTTAATCTTTTGTATTTACCGAAACACAAAATGTTATAGAATTAAGATAAGTTTCTCCGGAGAACCCTTAAGTTATAAGAACAGTTAACGGTTTGTGCACTTTAAAATCTTTTTGCTATGTTAATTAGCTATCGGTCCAAGAACGCTTCTGCAAGGGCCATTTTATAGCTTTACTATCCTCGAAGGCATTTGGAAAAGTTCAGTGTTTATCGGCTAAAAAATATTTTGTGGACCGAGTTTGCGGAAGGAAACGAAGCTCTCTTATTAAGCAATAGAAATATCGAGCATTTGATTAAACATGTTGCTTAAAGGCGGATTAAAACGTCACTGAACAGACTTTTCCGGGTCAAGCAGAACATATTATTGCTTGAGACTTACGCCATGGCTGCCAATTGAAAAGCCCCCTCTCTTGTTTCTCATATATTTGACCAATGAGTCATTTAAAATTAAAATTTCTTAAGGTTATAGAGGACGTCTAGGTAAAGGGAAGTTAAAGAAGGAGGGATGGTGGAGGGAAGGGTGACAGGGGACTGAGGAAAGAAAGAAAGAAGTCTACTATCATTATCAATTTAAAGCGAACCCTAATAAATTCAACATTTCAAGTAAAAAAAGGTAACAATTTACTGTATTGCTTCAAAATTGGAGTGCATATTCTTCGATATTTTTTACCATGCCCTCCGCTGATAATATTGAGAACTAGGGAGTGCTCTCTATGAATCAGAAATGTATTGTCTTTCTCGGCATTCAAGTAGCGCAAACTTGATGAATGAGTGGTAGATTACAGCTAATTTTGGCCACGAAGGAAACGAAAAAGAAGAACCATCAGCCTACATTGATCTTGTCTAGGATTCCAGTCGAGTATTAAGTGTTTTCGAAGACCAGTATTCGTGTGAAGTTTTTAAGAGATTTCTTGCATATTAGCACATTTTTTGTAAATGTGAAGGTAATTATGCAGACTTCGTCTGCAACGCAATGAGTCCATTGTTGAGAGATGTCAAGGAGGAAATAAATAATCAGGCCCGTAGCCAGACTTCAGAACAAGACGAGGCAACTTTCGGGTGCCGAAGGCTGAAGGCAAAAGTCAAAAGGCAATTGCCACGTCTTGCCTCATGTTAGCTTCGGCCCTAATAATCAGCAATATTTTCATTTTATCCTACCTTCAATTCCATTTGCTGAGAATGCCAAAAGTGGGAAGATTACATAGAGTAATATTCCTTGTTTCAAGTTCATCTTAAATCCAAAAGATAAACAGCAATACCAGACAAACTTGTTGACTGTTAACACTCGTCGTTAATATTCTGAATAACCTCTGCGACTTTTTCCGCTTTGCTCGCCTCAGTGTAGAGTTTTACACGGTTCATGTCCCGATAAACATTGAATTAAAACTTCTTTTGTTTTAAATACAATATAATAGTTTCCCTGATTAAATCTATGATTAGAAACTGGAATAATAGAGAGGAAAAATTAGTCGAGTGTTTCAATGAGAGCGTGTAAGAATGTAGGATAGCTAAGGATTAACACGTACGATTCCTTTATTTTGTTCGTCTGTGAGCAAACCTAAAGTATTTAGAACTAGTTCAGTTTCATTGTTATTTCATCTGCTGGTTATGGCAACTATGGTGTCGCACATCGTAGAGAAAGCCACTTAAGCGCACATCGTAGAGAAAGCCACTTAAGCGCACATCGTAGAGAAAGCCACTTAAGCAGTGAACTATAGATGTAAATAGTTAGTAGTTGAAGTTTTACGAAATATCCTTGGAAAGTTTTCATTTTGAGTTAGTCTTATGCGTTCCATGGCAAAAAAAAAAATACACGTCTTCAAGAATTAGTGTGAAGCTGGAAAGTTGGGCTCACAAGCTAAATTTCTTCGCGATGTACGTGCACTTTGATTCGATCAACATACTCCTGTTGATAATACTTCAACCCGGCGCTAAGCAACACAGAAAGATGCAATTGCAAATTAGTTGTTAAGAAGGTACTTCTTTTTTAAAAGCTCAAGTAGCCCAAAACTAACGCCAATTTAAATTTTAATCGAAAGGTGTTAACTCGGAAGGGTTTCTATTTCGATTTCGTCTGAGAGTTTGTCATTATGTGTTTATTACTGGAGTGCCCCAAATTGGCATTTAAGCGATCTGACTTCGCTTGTGAAGCGAAATTGACGGCGTCGCAAACGATACCAGGAATAACGAGCCGTTTCATTGGTATCTTTATTTTACCACAGAGATGAAGACATTTACCCATTAACGCCCCAAGAGCGACTACAATCTAATTTCTCCTTATACAGTCACGGCTGAATCGAATATCACAAGCAATAACTATGCAAAAAAGTCGCAAACTTAAGAATATCTTAATCGTTAAACAAAGCCTCCTTATAAATGAATGTGAAAGCGATCTTCGCAGTAATGAACACTACTTAAGCAGTGGTGAAAATAGGGCCTGAAAATATTTCGTCATATGGCAGTACATCATATGAGTACTTAGGGAATTTTACAGATAAAAGTATGGAGATTGTGTATGCTGATGTCACGGCACAAAGGGTGAAGCTTTATTTTGCCTAAGATGTCATGATATTGCCCAAACAACGACAGCGTATGAAGTAAAACTTCATAATTTACATGAAGAACTCGCATGGCTTCTCGGTCAATCTTAACTTTGAATGCGATAGATGGTCACCTTGGCCATAGCCCAGCTCGAAATCCTCACAGAAAACACTCCAGTGACCAGACGGCGAGCTAAGTTTATCGATCTTTCTCACGAAAATAATTACTTGAAAATTAAATAAATAAATAAAAACTATCATAGCCTTATTTTCGTCTGAACTGATGACAATCCAAAAGGGCTTTCATGGCCGATTTATGCAAATAGACGATAAAACTCTCTTCGGAAATTTGAATTAGCTTAAGGTGCGCTTAGTACGAAGGGAAGTGAAGGTAATGAAGCCGGAAAAACCGAGAAAAAATCCTAGGCATAAATTCTGTTGGCAAAAGGCTTGAAAATAGGACAAGTGCATTACTTCTCCAACCATCAGGCTTCACCTTCTCGTCGTATCCGAACATTTACAAAATATGAGTATGACTGAGCATCTATTCAGAAAAATCATATGGCAGGATTGGTACGACCTCCTTTCTACATTGGAGGCAATAACTTCCTGTGTTTCCTAGACGGCACTGTAAACCTCCGTTCCACCGATACAGAAATCCTCAGTCTTTTATGTGTCTAATCGTCGTGTGGTTTTTCAATAGTTGCATGTTCACGGAGTTCTATCTTGACAGTTGCAATAATTTTGCGCTTTGGGAACTTTGAGCCCAATGCAAGTGATTTGGCTCCTCTGACACACTTCACTTGACAAATGACGCTATGAATCATTACCTTGTCCGCGTCCCACACAACTGACACGTTCATGAAAGTTGCAAGAAAACTGTGAAAAATGAGATGCTGGGGTAAAGCATCATTTTATTAAGAAACTGTATTGCTGCCATGAAATAACATTGCCATCGATGCGAGTAGAAATTAATACATAAAAATATGGTGACAAGTACGGGGCTGCTGTCAGAGCAGATTGTCTGTGTCAGCGTCCAAATGAAGAGCTTTTAAGCTGTGAGTAAAACAAAATAAAGCAATTAACAAAGGTTTTTTAAGTTTCTCCAAACTCCATGGCGACCGAAATTAGGTTTATTAGCGCGGGAAGATAATCCTTTTGACAAGGAAGCATGGATGAACCACAGTCTTTCTGCCATAAAATTATTCATGTCTTCTCTGCAAAACTGGCCCATGCAGGATGTCTCACTTGATCATCTTCGATTTATAGCAGCGGTTTTAAGCACCGTTCAAAATGTACCTTTTCATTACTACTAACGCTATCTTCAACCAACAGATAAGGGGATGAACAGACTTTCTCATTAGATGGCTTTAGCTGCGGCCTTTGTCATGTTATAGCATTATAATTTGCTTTTCCAATTCGGGTAAATGAGTTACCTGATCTTAGTGGTCGAAACAGTTTTTAACTGAGTGACGAAAATCTAAAACCGAATTAATTGCAACAGCCACTCAGAGCTAAGTTTGGCATAGCCATTAACTTATGAGAACTAAAAATAAAACAAGCAAACTGCTTCAAACGCAGGAAGATACGAGCAAGTAGGTCGGGATTGGTTTTTCAGTTTTAAATCTGATCAACAGAGTAAGCGTACAAGTTTTCAGGAGTAATCAACCAGCGAAGTTTCATGTAAGCAAAAACCCGAGCAATCCCTAATTCCGTACGTCACTCAATTGAAAATTACTGTATACAATGTACAAGTGATAAAAAGATTACTAGAGTTACAAGGTTTAACTTGAAGTACCTTCACAACCGTAGATCTCCATTCTCATTGATATATGATTGAACCAAGCAGTAGGGCGAAGCCTAATGTAGAGTACTTGGATGGGAGGAAGCAATTCATGGGTCACAATAGTGTTACTATCCGTGTTTCCATGAAATATCTTTGAATAAAGAAAAAATCCAGCGAGTTAATCCATTAACACCTAAAACACAAATATCAACTCTCTGCCCTCGTCGCAAAATGTTATTACCAAGATTATCTCCAATCACATTTTCTTTTGTTCTCCTCTCTTTGAGTTTAGTCCTCACCAGGGGTTGTTGGATGGGATTTGTGAAAGATCACCCTCTTAATTAAGAAAGAGGTCGCGTGCTCACATGCCCTTGCAAGAATATAACTACTAGGAACGGAAACGAATCGGAAATAAGCTCTAACACAGTTAAGATAATCATCATAAAAGAAATATTCTCAGTAAATAATCTGCAAATGTCAAAATGCCTGCCAACTTTTAAGCGGTATATCCGTCTCAAAACGTTACTTTGTAAGTTTGTGTTTTTTGAAAGGACAGAGAGATTCGGTAAAATCTCGCTTTGTTCACATTTAAGTAGACATCACGAGGACTGACGCGTTAGTAAAACGCTTTAAAGAAGCCTCTCGTTGCCTCCGCGTGGCTTCTAGAGCGCATGTTATTGATTTAGTAAGTCGCTGCTGTAAAGTTTGTTTGTATTTTTCATAACCTTGTAAAAATGTTATAGTACCTTAGGTACACTCTGGCCTGGTTCATGGTAATAATGAAACGTCACACCGTCCTCGCTGTACTCTAACTTGTACTTCGTTACCCACTGGTTGAATGCATTTCTTCCCTGTGTGGCGAACTGAGTTATCTTTGTGTATCCGGGAAGTTTTACTTGTATCCATTGATTGACGTCATTTGTGCGAGCAGACCAGCTTCCTGCTTTACCTGGGACCGCTAGGAAATTTAACCTGCCTTGCTTAGCAGCATGATTTCCATTAAATTCTGAGGATGCAGTAATCTGTGCATCCAAGATGGCGCCACTCTCCATACCAAGTGGTTTAGCGCATGCTGTAATAATTCAAAATAAAAGGAGACGAAAGCTTTGTAATAAGAACACCCATTTATGCTGAAAATTAAGGAAAATGTCTCAAGAATTTCACTCTATTTAGTTAAAGCTCCTACTAAATGGAAAATATATATAGAGAGTGGAGCCTCTATGCGCGATCAAAATTTTATCTGGACATCCGTAGATCTCCATCCTCATTGAGATATGATTGAACCAAGCAGTAGGACGAAGCCTGATGTACAGTGCTTGGATGGGAGGAAGCAATTCATGGGTCACAATAGTGTTACTATCCGTGTTTCCACGAAATATCTTTCAATAAAGAAAAAATCCAGCGAGTTAATCGATTAACACCTTAGACGAAAATATCAACTCTCTTCACTGCTCGCAAAATGTTATTACCAAGATTATCTCCAATAACATTTTCTTTTGTTCTCCTCTCTTAGTAAGTTTGTGTTTTTTGAAAGGACACATAGATTCGGTAGAATCTTACTTTGTTCACATTTCAGTAGACAACATCTAGACTGACGCGTTGGTAAAACGCTTTAAAGAAGCCTCTCGTTGCCTCCGCGTGGCTTCTAGAGCGCATGTTATTGATTTAAGTGAGTCGATCTAAAGGTTGTTTGTATTTTTATGACGTTGTAAGCATGTCATAGTACCTTAGCTGCGCTCTGGCCTGCTTCATGGTAATAATGAAACGTCACACCGTCCTCGCTGTACTCTATCTTGTACTTCTTTACCCACTGGTTGAATGCATTTCTTCCCTGTGTGGCGAACTGAGTTATCTTTGTGTATCCGGGAAGTTTTACTTGTATCCATTGACTGGCGTCATTTGTGCGAGCTGACCAGCTTCCTGCTTTACCTGGGACCGCTAGGAAGTTCAACCTACCTTGCGTAGCAGCATGATTTCCATCAAATTCTGAGGATGCAGTAATCTGTGCATCCAAGATGGCGCCACTTTCCATACCAAGTGATTTAGCGCATGCTGTAATAATTCAAAATAAAAGGAGACGAAAGCTTTGTAATAAGAACACTGATTTACGCTGAAAGTTAAAGAAAATAACTTAAGAATTTCAATCTGTTTAGTTAAATCTCCTTCTAAATGGAAAATTTATAGAGAGTAGAGCCTCTATGCGTGATCAAAATATTACCTGGACATCCGTAGATCTCCATCCTCATTGATATATGATTGAACCAAGCAGTAGGACGAAGCCTGATGTACAGTGCTTGGATGGGAGGAAGCAATTCATGGGTCACGATAGTGTTACTATCCGTGTTTCCATGAAATAACTTTGAATAAAGAAAAAATCCAACGAGTTAATCCATTAACACCTTAGACGCAAATTGCAACTCTCTTCACTGGTCGCAAAATGTTATTACCAAGATTATCTCTAATCACATTTTCTTTTGTTCTCCTCTCTTTGAGTTTAGTCCCTACCAGATGTTGTTGCATGAGATTAATAAAAAATAACCCTGTTAATTAAGAAAGCGGTCGCGTGCCTACATGCCTTTCCAAGAATATGATTACTGGAGTTGAAAATGAATCAGATAAGTTCCAACACAGTTAAGACTATTATATTACAAGTTATATCCTCAGTAAACAATCTCCAATTGTCAAAATCCCTGCCAACTTTTAAGGGGTATATCCGTTTCTAAACGTTAGTTAGTAAGTTTGTTTTGTGAAAGGACAGAGGGATTCGGTAAAATTTTGCTTTGTTCAAATTTAAGTAGACATCACGAAGACTGACGCGTCGGGAAAACGTTTTACAGAAGCCCCTCGCTGCCTCCACATGGCTTCTAGAGCGTATATTATCAATTTTAGGGCACCGCGGTAAAGGTTGTTTATATTTTTTTAACGTTGTAACCATGTCAAAGTACCTTAGCTGCACTCTGGCCTGGTTCATGGTAATAATGAAACGTCACACCGTCCTCGCTGTACTCTATCTTGTACTTCGTTACCCACTGGTTGAATGCATTTCTTCCCTGTGTGGCGAACTGAGTTATCTTTGTGTATCCGGGAAGTTTTACTTGTATCCATTGACTGGCGTCATTTGTGCGAGCTGACCAGCTTCCTGCTTTACCTGGGACCGCTAGGAAGTTCAACCTGCCTTGCTTAGCAGCATGATTTCCATTAAATTCTGAGGATGCAGTAATCTGTGCATCCAAGATGGCGCCACTCTCCATACCAAGTGGTTTAGCGCATGCTGTAATAATTCAAAATAAAAGGAGACGAGAGCTTTGTAATAAGAACAATGATTTACGCTGAAAGTTAAAGAAAATAACTTAAGAATTTCAATCTGTTTAGTTAAATCTCCTTCTTAATGGAAAATTTATAGAGAGTAGAGCCTCTATGCGTGATCAAAATATTACCTGGACATCCGTAGATCTCCATCCTCATCGATATATGATTGAACCAAGCAGTAGGACGAAGCCTGATGTACAGTGCTTGGATGGGAGGAAGCAAATCATGGGTCACAATAGTGTTACTATCCGTATTTCCATGAAATATCTATAAATAGAGAAAAAATTGAGGAAGTAAATCGATAAACACCTAAGACATAAACATCAACTCTTTGCACTGGCTGCAAAATGTTATTACCAGGACAATCTCCAATTACATTTTCTTTTGTTTACCTCTCTTTGAGTTTAGCCCTCACCAGAGGTTGTTGCATGGGATTTATGAAAGATCACCCTCTTAATTAAGGAAGAGGTCGCGTGCTTACATGCCCTTGCAAGAATATGATTACTGAAGATGGAAACGAATCAGAGATAAGATCCAACACAGTTAAGATTATTATTATTATTATTATTATTATACAAGTTATGTACTCAGGAAATAATCTCCAAGTGTCAAAATTACTGCTTACTTTTAAGCGGTACATCCGTTTCAAAACGTTACTTTGTAAGTTTGTGTTTTGTTAAAGGACAGAGGGATTCAGTAAAATCTGCCATTGTTCACATTTAAGTAGACATCACGAGGACTGACGCGTTTGGTAAACACTTTTATAGATGCCCCTCGCTGCCTCCGCGTGGCTTGTAGAGCGTGTATTATGAATTTTGGTGCGTCGCTTGAAAGGTTGTTTATATTTTTATAACCTTGTAAACATGTAATAGTACCTTAGCTACACTCTGGCCTGGTTCATGGTAATAATGAAACGTCACACCGTCCTCGCTGTACTCTAACTTGTACTGCGTTACCCACTGGTTGAATGCATTTCTTCCTTGCGTCGCAAACCGGGTTATCTTTGTGTATCTTGGAAGTTTTACTTGTATCCATTGGTTGACGTCGTTTGTGCGAGATGACCAGCTTCCTGCTTTACCTGGGACGGCTAGGAAGTTCAACCTGCCTTGCGTAGCAGCATGATTTCCATCAAATTCTGAGGATGCAGTGATTTGTGCATCCAAGATGGCGCCGTTCTCCATACCAAGTGATTTAGCGCATGCTGTAATAATTCAAAATGAAAAGAGACGAGAGCTTTCTAAAAAGAACACTGATTAATGCTTAAAATTAAAGAACATATCTTTAGAATTTCACTCTGTTTAGTTCACGCTCATCATAAATGGAAAATATATAGAGAGTAGAGCCTCTATGCATGATCAAAATATTACTTGGACATCCGTAGATCTCCATCCTCATTGATATATGATTGAACCAAGCAGTAGGACGAAGCCTGATGTAAAGTGCTTGGATGGGAGGAAGCAATTCATGGGTCACAATAGTGTTACTATCCGTGTTTCCATGAAAGATCTATAAGTAGAGAAAAAAATCGAGCAAGTAAATCGATCAACACCTCGAACGTAACAGTTAAGATAATTATTATTGCACATGTTATATACTCAGGAAATAATCTCCAAATGTCAAAATCACTGCTTACTTTTAAGCGGTATATCCGTTACATAAAGGTTAGTTTGTAGCTTTGTGTTTTTTGAAAGGACAGAGGGATTCGGTAAAATCCCGCTTTGTTCACATTTAAGTAGACATCACGAGGACTGACGCGTTGGGAAAATGCTTTAAGGAAGCTCCTAGTTGCCTCCGCATGGCTTCTGGAGCCTATATTATCAATTTTGGTGCGTCGCTGTAAAGGTTGTTTGTATTTTTATAACCTTGTAAATATGTCCTAGTACCTTAGCTGCGCTCTGGCCTGGTTCATGGTAATAATGAAAAGTCACACCGTCCTCGCTGTACTCTAACTTGTACTGCTTTACCCACTGGTTGAATGCATTTCTTCCTTGCGTCGCAAACCTGGTTATCCTTGTGTATCCGGGAAGTTTTACTCGTATCCATTGATTGACGTCATTTGTGCGAGCTGACCAACTTCCTGCTTTACCTGGGACCGCTAGGAAGTTCAACCTGCCTTGCTTAGCAGCATGATTTCCATTAAATTCTGAAGATGCAGTAATCTGTGCATCCAAGATGGCGCCACTCTCCATACCAAGTGGTTTAGTGCATGCTATAATAATTCAAAATGAAAGGAGACGAGAGCTTTGTAATAAGAACACTGATTAATGCTTTAGATTAAGAAAAATAACTTTGGAATTTCACTCTGTTTAAGTTAAAGTTCCTCATGAATGGAAAATATATATAGAGAGTAGAGCACCTATGCATGATCAAAATTTTACCTGGACATCCGTAGATCTCCATCCTCATTGATACATGATTGAACCAAGCAGTAGGACGAACCCGGATGTAAAGTGATTGAATGGGAGGAAGTAATTCATGGGTCACAATAGTGTTACTATCCGTGTTTCCATGAAATATCTAGGAATGAAGAAAAAATGGAGCAAGTAAATCGATTAACACATAAGACACAAACATCAACTCTCCGCACTGGTCGCAAAAGTTATTGCCAAGACTATTTCCAGTCACACTTTCTTTTGTTCTCCTCGCTTTCAGTTTAGTCCCCATTAGGGGTTGTTGCATGGGATTTATGAAAGTCGACTCTCTTAATCGAGAAAGAAGTCGCGTGCTTAAATGCCCTTGCAAGAATATGATTACTGGAGATGGAAACGAATCAGATAAGTTCCAACACAGTTAAGATTATTATTATACAAGTTACATGCACAGTTAATATTCTCCAAATGTCAAAATCACTGCCCACTTTTAAGGGGTATATCCGTTTCAATACGTTAGTTCGTAAGTTTTATTTTTTTGAAAGGACAAATAAATTCAGTAAAATCTCGCTTTGTTCACATTTAAGTAGACATCACGATGACTTACGTGTTGGGAAAACAATTAAAGAAGACCCTCTTTGCCTCCGCGTGGCTTCTAGAAGCGTATATTATCAATCTTAGTGCGTCGCTGTAAAGGTTGTTTGTATTTTTATAACGTTGTAAGCATATCATAGTACCTTAGCTACACTCTGGCCTGGTTCATGGTAATAATGAAACGTCACACCGTCCTCGCTGTACTCTATCTTGTACTTCGTTACCCACTGGTTGAATGCATTTCTTCCCTGTGTGGCGAACTGAGTTATCTTTGTGTATCCGGGAAGTTTTACTTGTATCCATTGATTGACGTCATTTGTGCGTGCTGACCAGCTTCCTGCTTTACCTGGGACCGCTAGGAAGTTCAACCTGCCTTGCGTAGCAGCATGATTTCCATTAAATTCTGAGGATGCAGTAATCTGTGCATCCAAGATGGCGCCGCTCTCCATACCAAGTGGTTTTGTGCACGCTGTAATATTGAAAATAAAAAGAGACGAGAGCTTTGTGATAAGATCACTGATTAATGCTTAAAATTAAAGAAAATAACTTAAGAATTTCACTCGGCTTAGTTAAAACTCCTCATAAATGGAAAATATAAATAGAGTAGAGCCTCTATGCGTAATCAAAACATTACCTGGACATCCGTAGATCTCCATCCTCATTGATATATGATTGAACCAAGCAGTAGGACGAAGCCGGATGTAAAGTGCTTGGATGGGAGGAAGCAATTCATGGGTCACAATAGTGTTACTATCCGTGTTTCCATGAAATATCTATGAATAATGAAAAAATCGAGCAAGTAAATCGATTAACACCTAAGACGCAAATATCAACGCTCAGCACTGGTCGCAAAATGTTCTTACCAAGACAATCTCCAATCGCACCTTTTTCTGTTCACCTCTCTTTGAGTCTAGCCCCCACCTGGGGCTGTTGCATGGGATTTATGAAAAATAATCTTTTAACTAAGAAAGTGGTCGCGTGCTTACATGCCCTTGAAAGAATATGATTACTGGAGATGAAAACATGTCTAAGATAAGTTCCAACAAGGTTAAGGGTATTACAATACAAGTTATATGCCAAGTAAATAATCTTAAAATGTTAAAATCACTGCTTACTTTTAAGGGGTATATCCGTTTCAAAACGTTACTTTGTAAGTTTGTGTTATGTTAAAGGACAAGAGATTCAGTAAAAAATCTGCCCTTGTTCGCATTTAAGTAGTTATCACGATGACTGACGCGTTGGGAAAACGCTTCCGGAAAGCCCCTTGTTGCCTCCATATGGCTTCTAGAGCCTATATTATAAATTTTTGCGCGTCGCTGTAAAGGTTGTTTGTATTTTTATAACCTTGTAAACATGTAATAGTACCTTAGCTGCACTCTGGCCTGGTTCATGGTAATAATCAAAAGTTACACCGTCCTCGCTGTACTCTAACTTGTACTTCGTTACCCACTGGTTGAATGCATTTCTTCCTTGCGTTGCAAACCTGGTTATCCTTGTGTATACGGGAAGTTTTACTTGTATCCATTGATTGACGTCATTTGTGCGAGCTGACCAGCTTCCTGCTTTACCTGGGACCGCTAGGAAGTTCAACCTGCCTTGCGTAGCAGCATGATTTCCATCAAATTCCGAAGAAGCAGTAATCTGTGCATCCAAAATGGCGCCGCTCTCCATACCAAGTGGTTTAGCGCACGCTGTAATAATTCAAAACGAAAAGAAACGAGAGCTTTGTAATAAGAACACTGATTAATGCTAAAAACTAAAGAAAATAACGTAATGGAATTTCACTCTGTTTAAGTTAAAGTTCCTCATGAATGGAAATATAGAGAGTAGAGCCTCTATGTGTGATCAAAACATTACCTGGACATCCGTAGATCTCCATCCTCATTGATATATGATTGAACCAAGCAGTAGGACGAAGCCTGATGTACAGTGCTTGGATGGGAGGGAGCAATTCATGGGTCACAATAGTGTTACTATCCGTGTTTCCATGAAAGATCTATGAATAAAGAAAGAATCGAGCAAGTAAATCGATTAACACCTACGATACAAATATCAGCTCTCTGAGCTGGTCGCAAAAGGTTATTGCCAAGACTATCTCCAATCACATTTTCTTTTGTTCTCCTCTCTTTGAGTTTAGTCCCCCACCTGGGGTTGTTGCATGGGATTAATGAAAGACAACTCTCTTAATTAAGAAAGAAGTCGCGTGCTTAAATGCCCTTGCAAGAATATGATTACTGAAGATGGAAACGAATCACAGATAAGTTCCAACACAGGTAAGATTATTATTATACAAGTTATATGCTCAGTTAATAATCTCTTAATGTCAAAATCACCGCCCACTTTTAAGGGGTATATCCGTTTGAAAACGTTAGTTTGTAAGTTTTATTTTTTTGAAAGGACAAATAAATTCAGTAAAATCTCGCTTTGTTCACATTTAAGTAGTCATCACGATGACTTACGTGTTAGGAAAACGCTTTAAAGAAGCATCTCGTTGCCTCCGGGTGGCTTCTAGAGTGTATATTATCAGTTTTAGTGCGTCACTGTAAAGGTTGTTTATATTTTTATAACCTTGTAAACATGTAATAGTACCTTAGCTGCACTCTGGCCTGGTTCATGGTAATAATGAAACGTCACACCGTCCTCGCTGTACTCTAACTTGTACTTCGTTACCCATTGGTTGAATGCATTTCTTCCCTGTGTGGCGAACTGAGTTATCTTTGTGTATCCGGGAAGTTTTACTTGTATCCATTGATTGGCGTCATTTGTGCGAGCTGACCAGCTTCCTGCTTTACCTGGGACTGCTAGGAAGTTCAACCTGCCTTGCGTAGCAGCATGATTTCCATCAAATTCTGAGGATGCAGTAATCTGTGCATCCAAGATGGCGCCGCTTTCCATACCAAGTGGTTTTGTGCATGCTGTAATATTCAAAATAAAAAGAGACGAGAGCTTTGTTATAAGAACATGGATTAATGCTTAAAATTGAAGAAAATAACTTTAGAGTTTCAATCTGTTTAGTTAAAGCTCCTTATAAATGGAAAATATATAGAGAGTAGAGCCTCTATGCGTGATCAAAATATTACCTGGACATCCGTAGATCTCCATCCTCATTGATATATGATTGAACCAAGCAGTAGGACGAAGCCGGATGTAAAGTGCTTGGATGGGAGGAAGCAATTCATGGGTCACAATAGTGTTACTATCCGTATTTCCATGAAATATCTATGAATAAAGAAAAAATCGAGCAAGTAAATCGATTTACACCTAAGACGCAAACATCAACTCTCTGCACTGGTCGCAAAATGTTTTTACCAAGACTACCTCCAATCACATTTTCTTTTGTTCTTTTCTCCTTTAGTTTAGTTCCCCACCTGGGTTTGTTGCATGGGATTTATGAAAAATAACCTTTTCATTAAGAAAGTGGTCGCGTGCTTACATGCCCTTGAAAGAATATGATTACTCGAGATGAAAACATGTCTAAGATAAGTTCCAACACGGTTAAGAGTATTATAATACAAGTTATATGCCTAGTAAATAATCTTAAAATGTTAAAAGCACTGCTTACTTCTAAGGGGTATATCCGTTTCAAAACTTTAGTTTGTAAGGTTGTGTTTTGTTAAAGGACAGAGAGATTCGGTAAAATCTGCCCTTGTTCGCATTTAAATAGACATTACGAGGACTGACGTGTTGGGAAAACGCTTCAGGAATACCCCTTGTTGCCTTCGTGTGGCTTCTAAAGCCTATATTATCAATTTTTGCGCGTCGCTGTAAAGGTTGTTTGCACTTTTATAACGTTGTAAACATGTCATAGTACCTTAGCTGCACTCTGGCCTGGTTCATGGTAATAATGAAAAGTCACACCGTCCTCGCTGTACTCTAACTTGTACTGCGTTACCCATTGGTTAAATGCATTTCTTCCTTGTGTCGCAAACCTGGTTATCCTTGTGTATCCGGGAAGTTTTACTTGTATCCATTGATTGACGTCGTTTGTGCGTGCTGACCAGCTTCCTGCTTTACCTGGGACGGCTAAGAAGTTCAACCTGCCTTGCTTAGCAGCATGATTTCCATTAAATTCTGAAGATGCAGTAATCTGTGCATCTGAGATTGCGCCGCTCTCCATACCAAGTGGTTCAGCGCATGCTGTAATAATTAAAAATAACAAGAGACTAGAGCTTTGTAATAAGAACACCCATTTATGCTGAAAATTAAAGAAAATATCTTAAGACTTTCACTCTATTTAGTTAAAGCTCCTCCTAAATGGAAAATATATAGAGAGTAGAGCCTCTATGCGCGATCAAAATTTTACCTGGACATCCGTAGATCTCCATTCTCATTGATATATGATTGAACCAAGCAGTAGGCCGAAGCCTGATGTAAAGTGCTTGGATGGGAGGAAGCAATTCATGGGTCACAATAGTGTTACTATCCGTGTTTCCATGAAATATCTATGAATAAAGAAAAAATCGAGCAAATAAATCGATTAACACCTAAGATACAAATATCAATTCCCTGCACTGGTCGCAAGATGTTATTACGAAGACTCCAATCTCCAATCACATTTTTTTTTGTTCTCCTCTCTTTAAGTTTCGTCCCCACTAGGGGTTTATACATGGGATTTATGAAAGATCATCCTCTTAATTAAGAAAGAGGTACCGTGCTTACATGCCCTTACAAGAATATGATTACTGAAGAAGGAAACGAATCAGAGATAAGTTCCAACACAGTAAAGATAACCATTATTACACAAGTTATATACTCAGGAAATAGTCTCAAAATGCCAAATTACTGCCCATTTTAAGGGGCATATCCGTTTGAAAACGTTAGTTTGTAAGTTTGTGTTTTTTGAAAGGACTTAGAGATTCGGTAGAATCTCGCTTTGTTTACATTTAAGTAGACATCACGAGGACTAACACGTTGGAAAAACAATTTAAAGAAGCCCCTTGTTGCCTCCGTGTGGCTCCCAGAATGTGTATTATCAATTTTAGTGCGTCGCTGAAGAGGTTGTTTGTATTATTATAACGTTGTAAACGTCTTAGTACCTTAGCTGCACTCTGGCCCGGTTCATGGTAATAATGAAAAGACACACCGTCCTCGCTGTACTCTAACTTGTACTGCTTTACCCACTGATTGAATGCATTTCTTCCTTGCGTTGCAAACCTGGTTATCTTTGTGTATCCGGGAAGTTTAACTTGTATCCATTGATTGACGTCATTTGTGCGAGCTGACCAGCTTCCTGCTTTACCTGGGACGGCTAGGAAGTTCAACCTGCCTTGCTTAGCAGCATGATTTCCATCAAATTCTGAAGAAGCGGTTATCTGAGCATCTTTGATGTCACCGTTTTCCATACCAAGTGCTTGAACGCATGCTGTCGTGATTTAAAATGAAATGAGAAAAGGTTTTTATGATATGACGACTCTGAGTAACAACCTAAAGGAAGTGAGCATAGAAATTTAAAGGTTTTTTTCCAATTTTGCAGTTAGATAAAAAAGTCTTTCATAAATGAGACGCAACAAGCAATAGGACTTTTAATCGTGGTCACAACATTACCTCGACATCCGTAGACTTCCATTCTCAATGATATATGATTAACCCACGTAGAAGGACGAAGCCTTATATAGTGTGCTTGGATGGGAGGAAACAACTCATGGGTCACAATGGTGTTACTGTCTGTATTACCAACAAATTCCTAAAACAAAGGCAAATATCGAGCAAGGTTAGCAATCAATCATCTGTTTTGACTGCCGTTCATTTTTTATGATATTAGCTCAAAGAATAATTGTTCCCGAGTCGATATTTTCCTTTCTTCTCTCCACTCTTAGTACGATGGCGGCTGAGGATAAAAATGGTTTTATTCTAGAGGAGTTGCAAACGATCACCTTCTTAAGACATTGGTGCCGTGTTTTAACCTATTTGCAAGAAATGGAAAGCGAGATGGAAACAGGATAAAAAGGATTACCAAAATATTTCCATTAGATCATTTAAAATGATCAAAATCACTGGCAAATTTTTGTTTCAAAGAATAACGAGTGTATTTCGATTTTTAAACGTTTTGGTAGACTAATCATAACTGGGTTGATAAAGTTTCGCTGTTTATACAATTTAGTAGCCTCCACGAGTACTACGGCGCAAGGACGAGGCTTGACAGAGACTCGTTCCAGGCTCAATAGGACTTCTTAAGCGCCTTCCCAGACTCGCACCTCTCATAACTTTTATACACCGCTCTAAAATGATTTTCTGTATTTTTCTATGACGTAATAAACAAGCCCTAATACCTTAGGTGCACTCTGGCCCGGTTCATGGTAATAATGAAAAGTCACACCATCCTCGCTGTACTCTAACTTGTACTGCGTTACCCACTGATTGAATGCATTTCTTCCCTGTGTGGCGAACTGAGTTATCTTTGTGTATCCGGGAAACTTTATTTGTATCCATTGATTGACGTCGTTTGTGCGAGCTGACCAGCTTCCTGCTTTACCTGGGACCGCTAGGAAGTTTAACCTGCCTTGCGTAGCAGCATGATTTCCATTAAATTCTGAAGAAGCAGTAATCTGTGCATCCAAGATGGCGCCGCTCTCCATACCAAGTGGTTTTGTGCATGCTGTAATAATTCAAAATAAAAAGAGGCGAGAGCTTTGTAATAAGAACACTGATTAATGCTAAAAATTAAACGAAATAACTTAAAAGAATTTCACTCTGTTTAAGTTAAAGTTCCTCATGAATGGAAAATATATAGAGAGTAGAGCCTCTATGCGTGATCAAAACATTACCTGGACATCCGTAGATCTCCATCCTCATTGATATATGATTGAACCAAGCAGTAGGACGAAGCCTGATGTACAGTGCTTGGATGGGAGGAAGCAATTCATGGGTCACAATAGTGTTACTATCCGTGTTTCCATGAAATATCTTTGAATAAAGAAAAAATCGAGCAAGTAAATCGATTAACACCTAAGATACAAATATTAACTCTCTGCACTGGTCGCAAAATGTTATTGCCAAGATTATCTCCAATCACATTTTCTTTTGTTCTCCTCTCTTTGCGTTTGGCCCTCACCAGAAGTTGTTGGATGGGATTTGTGAAAGATCACCCTCTTAACTAAGAAAGAGGTCGCGTGCTTACATGCCCTTGCAAGAATATAATTATTGGAAATGGAAACGAATCAGAAATAAGCTCTAACACAGTTTAGACAATTATTATATAAGAAATATCCGAAGTAAATAATCTCCAAATGTCAAAATCAATGCCCACTTTCGGTTCGGAAAGTTTCAGGGGTACATCTGTTGGCAAGTTAATTTTCTTTTCTTTTTGAGAGAACAAAATAATTCGGGAAAATCTCGCTTTGTTCACATTTAAGTAGTCATTTCGAGTGCGTGCGCGTTGGGAACGAGCCCCCCGTTGCCTCAGCGTTGCGTCTATTATTGATTCTTGTACGTCGTCCTAAAAGGGTTTTTTTCATTTTTGTAACGTTGTACGCATGTCATAGCATAGTACCTTAGGTGCACTCTGGCCTGGTTCATGGTAATAGTGAAAAGTTACGCCGTCCTCGCTGTACTCTAACTTGTATTGCGTTACCCACTGATTGAATGCATTTCTTCCCTGCGTCGCAAACCGGGTTATCTTTGTGTATCCGGGAAGTTTTATTTGTATCCATTGATTGACGTCGTTTGTGCGAGCTGACCAGCTTCCTGCTTTACCTGGGACGGCTTGGAAGTTCAATCTCCCCTGCTTAGCAGCATGATTTCCATCAAATTCTGAAGAAGCAGTGATCTGGGCATCTACGATATCCCCGCTCTCCATTCCAAGTGCTTGAACACAAACTGTAAAATTTAAATAAAAAGTACAAAGAGTCAAGGGTTTTTGAAATGAAAACTCTGATCAGTTTTAAAATTAGAAACTAAATAAACGCATTTCGTCAAAGGCATGTAATGAGGAAACTTATTTAAGAATACCTTCGCATCCGTACAGTTCCATTCGCAAGGATATGTGGTTGTGCCAGGCTGTAGGACGAAGTCTAACATAGCGTGCTTCAATAGGCGGGTTCAACTCGTGATATACAATAGTTTCACTGTCACTGTTGCCTTGAAATTCCTAGCAGACGTGAATGGAGTTAATAACGGCAAATCACTTGTTTAACGTAACAAATATTTTCCAAAAGGATTTCTCGTTTGTGTTGACGGAACTCAATCTCTTTATCAAAGATTTGTACCTTAGGTGAGCTCTGCCCTCGCTCATGATAATAATGGAAGTTGAGTCCATCTTCACTGTACATTAGCTGGTATTTTGTAACCCACTGATTGAATGCATTTCTTCCTTGCGTCGAAAAACGAGATATTTTTGTGTTGCTGGGAAGTTTTACTTGTATCCATTGATTGGCGTCATTTGTGCGAGCTGACCAGCTTCCTGCTTTACCTGGGACCGCTAGGAAGTTCAATCTCCCCTGCTTAGCAGCATGATTTCCATCATATTCTGAAGAAGCAATGATCTGTTCATCCAGGATGGCGCCGCTCTCCATGCCGAGGGCTGCATTGCATGCTGTGTAAAGGCAAAGAAGAATAAACGCTGAAGCTTTTGCCTGGTATTAAATGAAAGGATACGAAGTTTGGAGCTGCCATAGAACCGTATTGGATTGAAGGGTGTTTTCCTTAGGATTTCTTCTCCTTCAATTACAGAGGCCTGAGAACTCGAGTCTCCACTGGCTCAGGCTCTCCTTTTTCATCAACACCTCGCAAATAATCGATCTTACCTTGTTCGCAGAGAACACCAGAATGTTGGTATGTACAGAGACATTCGAAGCTGCCGTGTAGGTTGACGCATGTACCGCCATTTTTACATGGAGTGGAAGTACATTCGTTAACATCTGTGAATCGAAGATGAATTTATTCAGGTATGAATGGGCAAGACTGACTGATTTAATTATAGTCCAGAGCTCTCTTAGCCATTTGTACGTCCATGTCACTATAGTTTATGATCCATCACAATAAGGATAAGATTACCCATTTATGTCGATTAAAAAAAAAAAAAAAAAAAAGGAGAAATGCAGTTGTCTACAGCGATCATACTGAATGCGCCGGGTCAAAGACAGCAACAGATTCCTGATATGATACCTTTGCAATTTTATCGGAGACTACTGAGCCTTAACACCGATCAGTATTTTAGATATCTATCTACAACGGCCGTTCTTCAAGTAGCTTAGCATTTCTGTGGAATTACGCTCTCTCCATTCCAGCTACAAATTATATACTTAGGTTCCACGCCTAAATAAAATGTGTGATGAGGTGAGAGCCTCAGCTGGAGTCAACGTGCTGAGTTCTTAGACTCGAAAATAAACTGTCACAGTGCCTCTCTCCAATCAGGAACGCACTTGGGTAGCAGCAAAATACTGGGAACGCCTCACGAAATGCTAGGTAAAAACCTGCTTACGGTTGAGAACTCCATATAGGTGGAGCAGTTATGCACATGCGTACATATGGACATAACCGATAGAACCAGGAAGATACCTTTTATCAAACCGGAGGGGCACGAGAATGGAGAAAAGCAAACTCACCTTGGTCGCAATTTTTCCCTTCCCATCCCTTTGGACAATCACACTTGTAGTCTCCGGGTAAATTGGTACATGTTGCTCCATTCTTGCAAGGGTTGTTTGTGAGACACTCATCTACATCTGTAGAAATTTTTGAAAATATCTCAAGAATTATTCATTATGAACGTCTTAGCCGCGGAACGGTCAAAGGAAAATTTTTTATCTAGCCTGTTATCTATTCGGGGCATTATGGAAATGTTTCTTGAGGCATCTGTGTCACATTTGCGGAAAGCTGTCGAGCCAGCAACATTCCAAAGCAAATTTTTAGGCAGTAACACAGTCAAAGTAAAATTGATCGCATCCCAGTTAAACAATGAGCAAGAAGGTTCACGATGCGTCGTGTATGGAAGAAACTAATTTAGCATAGAAGTGGATCTTGATAGGGTTGCATGTTAGGAATATAAAGTTTTGTTATTCAATGTTAACAGCTGGGCGGTTACCTCGCTCGCAATGCTCTCCCTGATAAGTTTCTGGGCAAGAGCACTCATAGCTTCCTCTGGTATTGATACACTTTCCACCATTCTCACATGGCCAATTAACACATTCATTACGATCTGCAAAGCAGAGAGCGGTTAGTTACCAGTAATGTTTGATGTTGTATGAAGCGCATTAGAAAATGATACCAAAGCTGTCATCGAAGGCGCTGGAATAAGGATGTAAGATACGCAAGAGCGTAGTTATTCTTAGCCAATATATCAATTTCCAAAGTGGCAGCCGAAAATTGAAATATGAACGAATTCAGGTTGTCCGTTGTTACGTAGTTCAAATTCCCAGTTCGTAATATTTGGACAATGTCCTCTCTTTCTATCGACAATCACCCTCGTTCCCAGGATCTTGTCCTACCCTACGAACCCCTGCTATGTGCCTCTAACACCTTTTCTATGGCTTCAGCTTGCAAGGAAAAGAGAGACGAAAAGACTGATGGATACATTTCCACTTCATCATAGATATTCAATATCGGCTACCAGTTTGGATAAAATAGACTGTATACTACATGGAGCATTTACACTTTGAAATTCCTATTTCAAAAAAAATATCGCTGATCTGGACTTACCGCGTTCGCAACGTTTTCCAACAAACCCACTGGGACATGCACACCAAAAGCTGCCATAAGTGTTCTCACAAGTTCCCCCATTTTCACAAGGATCGCCGTCTGACGACTCACATTCGTTGATATCTGAAACGACAGAGGGGTATAAACTTTTTGCGAAGGTATAAAAGGAATGGGTTTTTTTTGTTCGGGGAAAGCAGGTTAGGAGCGAGTAAACTTGATTGTGTGGATTGTAAACTTCAACCATATCAGTGCTTTCTGATTACACAATGGATCAGAAAGATTGAGAGAACATATTCTATTAGCATTCAAAGGCCTAATTTAAAAATTGTGCCATCCAGATCATCATTAAGCCCAGAATGATGAGCAAATTTTGTATTTGGAGAAGAGCGTCATAAATTTCGCGACAAAGCTTCCGTTTCAAGCCACACGCGTGTTTTCGTCTTCGTGGGTACAGTCTATCTCCCTGTTTTTTTATTTTTCTTTCTATGCGTGAAAAATAAATTCAGTATCTTTCTTCTTCACAGTTCCTATTTCTCTATAATAATAAGACACTGCTAAATTACCTGAACAGCACGTCTTTCCTTTAAATCCAGGTCTACACTTGCACATGTAACTTCCGACAGTGTTGATGCAAGTAGCTTCGTTGGAACACGCCAAGGCATCACATTCATCGATGTCTAAAGAGAGATTAAAAAAAAAATTTACAAAGCTAATAATTCTCTTAACCACCTTAAAACATGTAACTCATGTTGGGGTAGTTGTCAACTGTTGAGGGGAATGGATTGAGCCAAAAAAAGAGGCTAGAGTCCAAACTCCGAATGAAATATTATTATTAATTAATTATTAATTATTTTTAATTATTAATTATTAATTAATTATTAATTATTATTAATTTATTATTTATTAATTAATCAATTAAACTCGTTAATTGAACCACAACATTTGGCTAAAGTAAAAAACTCTGAAACTCCATAAAGTTCCAAACAGAGGGGAAACAAATTTCCGCGAACGAAAGCTCAAAAAAACTAACTAAAACTCCGCGGAACAAACAAAAGTAGGCGAAAATGTCCACGTCAGTTTTCCAATGTCGAGGTTAGAGTTCTTTGACGTGATTGGCTAATTTGCGAAATCATGTGCGATGCGCGTGAATACGAAAAGAATACAAAGGGAGGAATTTTGATTTTTTGATTTCTTTTTATTAATATAATTTTCGTGAACGTGATTCAGCTTCCCCCACCCCTCCTGTGTCACCACGCTCTCTTTTTTTTCTCCCAACATTCTTGATGGGTGTGAAATTTCGCGAATATGTAGCGGTTATTCCTTAGTTTTGGTGGTGCAATATTCGATCTCGTGACGTAATTGGATTTTAACATGAAATTAATTAATGCTTTTTGTCTTAGCTCACCAATCTCACAATGTCTTCCTTTGATACCCGATGGACATTTGCAGATATAGTCTGAACCCATGTCAATACAGGTTGCATTGTGGCGACACGGATTTTTGTCAAAATCACACTCTTTGACAACTGAAAAATAGAACAGAATGACATAATTTTAGAAAACGATAGGCCATTGTATGAATGAAACATGCAATCATGAAATTGAGCTTACACATTGGTGGGGAGGGGAGGAGAGGAAAGGGGTAGGTGGCTTTTTGTTAGTTGTATCTAAGCCGAATTGCTTAGAAGTTAGACTATTGGTTTTTGTGAAGGAAGGTATATTGGATAACACCGTGGCAAGGGAGAGAAAAAGCCAATAAAACTTAACCTCAACTTCAATGTGACTCCAAAGAATTGACCTTGGCCAACTGTAGTGGAAGGCAAACGCTTTCCCCACTGTCCCCACCCTGGTTCCCAAATGTGAAAACACAATCGAACGTACTTTCACAAACAGAACTTTGAGTTAAAATTGGACATTTAACAAATATTCACATAAATTCCCAAAATTAGCAAAAGTTTCATTCTTAGAGTGCCTTCATCGGGCTGAAATGGAACACGCTCTAATTCTTAACTAGGTCAGGTGGTCACGTCAGTTTTAATTTAATTTATAGCTATGATAAATTGTAATAGGAACACTGTGCCCTTGTCCTCAGTGGTATGAATTATTTCTACAAGTTGTCTGTTCAATCTCATCAGGGGGGTGGGAGTAGGGCTTACTCCAGGGAAAAATTTTCTGAATTCATATGGGCTAAATAAAAATGTTTTATTTTTTAATCATACTTAAACCTCTTTCATTTGAACCATAGATTTGCAAAACAGACCACATTACAAAGTAATAATGTAGCTTACCGCAGTCACAATGCTTTCCTGAGAAACCCGGCCGGCATTTGCACTCGTAACTGCCACAGGAAGTGACGACGCATGTTCCCCCGTACCTACACGGGTTTTCTAAACAAGAAAGCTCTTCAATTTCGTCTTCATCTGTAATTAGAAAACATAAATGATTTGAAGGAGATGCATAAAGATTCAGTAATGCGAGTCACTCTCTCCGACGCGCGAGGGAAAACATTTAATTGACCGAAGAACACAAAGAATCAAGGATAGCCTAAGAAGTATCGAACTTGGTCTACGATCGAAAAATTTTGGCAAGGAGAAAAACTTCCAGCTTAAAAAAGCTGAAGTTCAAATTCAAGTTGAATTTTTTAAGATGTTATGACCGTGAGGTAGACCAATCAAGAGAGATGTGCATCGCACCGGCGGCGATCGGTCATTAACAAAATACTAATGTTTCTCCCCTTGAGATTAAGGAAGACATTAACTTGTGATACATAGAACCAAAACGTTTTTTTTAGGCAGGCTTTATGATAATGGGCTTTGTTATAGTTATTTCATTGAGACGTTTAGATAAGGTTTTTCCTGCAACTTGAACGGATCTTTGTACTAGACACATTTTCCAAAATTTTGCTCTGTAATGCTTTTCGGTTGTCATCACTATTATTATCAGCGCTTAGTTCTATCATATAGAGACCTATCTTATCCCTGGATTCACTACAGCAAAACCAGGCACTGTGAATTTATCTTGGTGATTTTATAGATAGGTATCTCGTTTGATAGTGGTCTTGTAGAACTTACAATGCCTTATGTAAGCTAGGCTTATTTATCATCATCATTAGCGTCAAAATCCGTTCTCTTGATACCGCTCCAGAAGAAAAATATCTCGAAATCAACCTATGGCAAGCGAGTGGCAGCGTACCTAGGTTTTCCTACCCTGTAGTTTCATCGTAATAAAGAGGACAGGCACTACTTTAGATCAAATTCATTTACCTATACGCAGTACTACTTTTTATTTGTGTCATATATGGCTTCTTTAATATGATTTAAATTTAGGTATTTTGTAAAGGAGCAAACATGTTCCAGCACGGACAGATAAGAATTGCTTACATACCCGCAGCTATGAGAGCTTCCGCTTCATCAACGTATCTGGACCTTTTAGCTGCAAAAAGTAAGAACGCTAGATTATCTGATCAAAAGGAATACAAATTATAAAAAGGGGATTTAAAAGTGGACATTCCACGAGGTGGTTCTTCTTGTCCACTGTTTGTAGGTCGAATTGGAATTTAGAATGTTGATTTTTGTGGAGGGAGAATAAACGGAGCACCTGAAGGAAAACCCTCGGAGCATGGACGAGAACCAACAACAAACTCAAGCCACATGTGCTCTTACGACTGCGTCATCCTTGCTCCCCTTTGACAGCTTCCAAGGCTCCCTTTGAGCCATCTCCCCCCTCCCCTCCCTCCTTCGATTGTATTTCTATCGCTAAAACTGAATTCCAATTTTTTCATTCCATCCGTACAGAATAGTGTTTAGTTACTCACCGTACCGCCGAGCGAACGACGGTATATCTCTCTTAACGGTTTGGTTGAATAAAAGAGACTCAGAATGTTCAATAACGGAATGATTTGAGAGGAAATTACATACCCTCAGCGATTAGACTTTCATATTCATCATAATAGCCGTATCTGGAGCGTTCATCTGCAATTAACCAAATAAGTCGATTATTTGATGGGGTATCATTTTGACGAATTGTCTACGTGTTAGTTGTTTTAGTAGGCACATCCCATGTTGAAATTAGAGCCCTTCTCTCAACATTAAATTTGAATGCGAGTGTTACAGTGAGGACTTGGTGATGTGAAAAACTTGATATAAAAGTTAAAATGAAAAAAAAATTATATACTGTATATTTTAATTTTTCTACCGAGTTATCGTTCTAAATGAAAAGCCATTTGATTGTTAATTCTATCATGAAAAGCCTCTCAGAGGCTCAAAACCACAGGAGGTCAGGTATCAAGACGAAAGTGGCAACCCCATGACGTCAAGGTCCAATCCAAAATGGTGGAAAGCGGAAAGTTTCGAAGACAATTTACGTTCCCACTTGCATCCTTTTCTTCGGCAGTTACGTCAACTCTTTACCACTTAATGCAACATTTAAAGCAAATGCACAACATTTTATTTAGATTTTCCTGTTACGCTTTTAAAATAGGTTGAATAAATACCACTGGTGATATGTGCTATCATCATGTCTCTAGTTTATTCCTGTTACACTTTACCTACTCTCAAGTCGATTAGAGATGGGTTATATTTGTAGTCGACAATCTATCTGCAATCAGCTAGAACAGGATAGTATTATGAATTAGGTCCGCCGAAAGTCTGTTTGGTTAAATCGTATTAACATCACGGTTGATTTTTTAATGTCACTTTTTTCTTGTATCGTGTTATAGATGTTTTTCTTATATTATAGGGCATTTGCACCGATTTTCCTATTGCACTTTGAAAATAGGTTGAATAATATATGAACCAAATATTGATATTTTTAGTCGTGTTTTTTTTTTTAAGGAAATTATATGCAGCAGGTATTATTCATGAAACTGTTGCGACCAGCGTGAAATTCTTCTAAGTTAAACTAAAGCAGACGCGATACCCACCATACACTACTAAAACTACTAAAGCGCCTTAAACTTTTGACGTAATTGAGTGTGAGTCAACACTGTTTTGGATGGAAACGGACTCTACTCTAATCCGCCATAGCTTATTTGTTTGGAGTATTGTGACGTCATGATGATAATTCAGCCAAATAAAAATATTTCACTTTTGAAATTCTAGCCGAATGCGAGATAAACTGAAATATGAGAAACTTTCATTAACTCTCTAGAGAACAGCCTCAAGACAGAAGTGTTTTAATCGAAGATGAAAATTCATTAGGATTCATTGATAATTTGCTGCAACAAGTGAAAATTTTAGATGTTTACATACGACTTTCAAAAAGTTTGCTAGGGACCGATATTTGTTTGTATTTAATGCCTGATTAATTTAACTCGCTTTGATCTGGCCAGGAAAGTCTGACAAATAATGAAGGCCGTTGTTTTAACTTGTCTGCCGACATATAGAAGATTTGAAAAGTTCTACATTCTGCTTTAAAATTGCCCCCGATAACTTACAAATCTCCTACACACCCATAGACCTAAATAGGCGAGCCACAGCCTGTGACAGCTCACTTCAAAGATAAATATTTCCAACATCACCCAGCTTGAACTTGATCCCCTTTTGTCTCAATCGAAATATCCCTAAGCTTAGACCAGGCTTAGTGGCCCTATTTATTGATCAGAACCAAGAGCATAATTTGCAATTGAAAACCAGGAAGGGATGAATAAAAAATTTAGATTTTGTTCCTGAGGGCGAAAGACTCATTACGGAGAAAAACATCAGTTACTCACCTCGTATGAAATCGTATGACTTTGCATCCCCAATTTCCCGACCAACAGTAAAATATTGTTCATTCTTACTTCTATATCCACGAACAACTGTAGTTAAAGTAAAAATTGCGAAAGAAAGCTGGAGATAGAGAACTGCCATGTCTCACGCTCAGTAAATCAATATGGTTCGTATGAACTCTTTCCCTTAGTCCGGGCAATGGAGCCTGTACGTCACATCAGACTTTTCCGCATTTCTGTCTTTATGACCTACTTGAAAGGGTTTCCGAATAAATCAATAGGAGGAGGGAAAAACTGACCATTGAAATCCCACTCACATGGTTCTGCCTCACAGACTCTTTTAATGGCCGCTTTCAAAAGACGAAAACCAATCAAAACAATAACGGGTTGAGAGCGTAATTACGAGACACATAATACTGAACTGTGAAAATATTTCCAATTGAAACTGAAAACTATTTTTAGTATATGTTGTAAATATTCAAACTGTTTTACTTTTAAAACTATTTTTTCAGCTACGAACAGTCTCTCGCTAAGATACAGCTGCAATATACAGCTGTAATATGCTTCATTTGCTCTGAATACGTGCTTCTACCCTAAATAGAGGTTACTTTCAATAGTTTGCAATACCTAGAAGAAAACAGATCCATTTCGGCTAGGACAAGCCCTATCAGTTAGCTCTCTATGATTATAATAATACCAGGGTTTCTAAAAAAATTTCCGCATGTGACAATTTTTTAAAGAAAAATAATTCACGTCAGCAATAGCACTTGGATTGCTTTAGATCTTGAGAGAGTTTGAAAACCAAACACCATAATGAGGTGGTTAGAGTCCGACGTCCCGCCGACTTTTCGAGTTTTCATTTGCAACAATGTCATTCTGTAAATGTTTCTATCTTCGATGTCAAGCTTGTTGTGTAAAGTTATTCATTCAAGTGGAGATACCATTGAATTTGTGTTTTGTTTTGTTTATTTTTTTCCTTTCTTATTTTTTTTTTTTTAAGACAATGATTTAACAATGATTTCATTCATTATAAGAAACAGGAAAAAATGGGCCCGCGGGACATGGTTGACTTGGTGGATAATGTAATGTTGCAACTCACGTAATTTGCCTCCATGCAACTTTATTCTTTAAACCTTCAAAGTGAATAGATCAAAATTTTATTTCTTCCAAAATATTCGAATGTTAAGAGCTCAATGGGTGGAGAGAAAACGGGAAACCAACGTGCACGGATGCTACACGATAAACTTTAAATCGTTTCACTACATACCAAAATTTCCATTTTTTCCTACTATATTTTTGAAATAGGGATTTATCTTATGCACAAGAAAGAAAGAGGTTTATGGTTGTAATATATGTCTGAATAATATTTCAAGAATATTTTCGATTATTTGTGCCGAAAGCTTGTAAAAACTGATTCGATTGTCGGGGTTTAATTTTCATCAAGTTGAGATATTGATGGAGATGCTGAAGTGTTGTACACAGCCAAAGATTGTCAAAATTTATCAGAGAGAATAAACAGTTGTTATTTCTATTGTCGCAAAATCCCAGAACATGGTGGTAGACTGTTTGTTTGGAACGATTCAGCAAAATAAATGCAAAACTGAACTTCTAATCTCTGCGAACTCTTCCAGACAAAGTAGGCTCAGACATTCACGCGATACCAACAGCCGAATTTCAATTGTCACGCACGCTGTTTTCTGAGATTACGCAAGAAACTATCAATTTGCCAAATGAAGGTCATAAAGCTTGTTTGGACAACAATTTCATCGTGAAGTTTCTTGAGTGAGAAACAACATTATTTCCTCTTCGCCACCATTGAAGTAAAGAAGGTTAGGCGCTCCTGCCAACTGAGCTTAAGAGTGACAGGTTGGGATGGAGCGAGGCAAACTCTCGAGGGTTTATCTTCATGGATGAATAGTTATTATAAAGTATTTGCTTATGGTAAGATTTTAAATTATGCATAGTCAAGCTCTATCAACAACTCACGCAAGACTCTTCTGCTCTTCCGAATTACTAGATAACCTTTAAGTCACAAAGAAACAGGAGTTATAGCCCCATGGTTTAGCTGTTTTTAAAAAGTTTATTTCAGACGCACTCCAAAAACGCAGCTGTTGAGCAGAAGCACTGATGCGTCACGTGACTCTTAATTTGCACAAATGTCCCTCAGGGAAAAACCACCCTCTAAAGATTTATGATGTTTGTTCTTAATGACTTAATACAAAATATTGATTGAAAAATTGCATCCTGTATACTAAAGGTTGTCATCATTGAAAGATTCAACGCTACGGCTCAACTCTCAGATGTTGAAAATAAACGGCTTAAATTTTCGAACTGCTTCTTTTGCAATCTGTGCATATCTACGTGATGCCAACAATAATTTTTCTTTGTTGTTGGTATTCTCACTGACCGCTTCGGTGTTTATTAATCCTTAAAAACAGATTATCTGATACAATTTTGGTGGGAAATTCTTTTAAGAGCTAAATTTACCTTACGAAACGCTTGGTGAACATGATTGCTTAGATTCTCCTGATTTTCTGCCTTCACCACATTATTCCTTGTATTATTCAAACAAATGGGAAAATAAACAAACAAAATGCGTATATGTGTGGGTTCAAATCAGGGTATATTGTTTTGCCCATAACGTTTCCAATATAAAAGCAATTGTGGTTAGCAGTGCTTGAGAACATCTAAACCCACGTTCGATTGAATTTCAAATTGTTTCGGATGCGCAACCTTCAGTCCTGTTGCTTTGGCATCTAACGTATACACTTAAAGATGTCCGAGATCACAGGTCCAAAATGGCAATTTCAATGAGGGTCCCCAATAGGGTTCTTTAATCCCGCGATCCTAACTTAAAGTTTTTTCTCAATCCCGTAATCCCGACGGTTTATACCGGCCAATCCCGATCTCGATCATAGATTTTTTGTTTTATTCCGTTCCCTCAACTTAAAAGAGTATTTTCGGTAGGTGATGATTTTCTCATCCAGCATTGAGCCGTTGGAGTCTTTGCTCACTGTAAGGCGTACGTTTATCTTTTTTCACCCATCAATATCGTTCATTTTAGAAGTTTTCAAAGTTTTGCATGAATAGCGTACGCTAGTCACCGTAACGACTTCCTTCCGTTAAACTTCGATCTCGGAAAAACATATTAGTAAAGACAGGTCAGTATCAAAGAAACGAATAACAATGTAAATTAGTGCATAAAACAAAACAAGGTGAGAATAATCCCATTGCTTCCATAAAAAGGGAAATAAAGAAAAAATCAACTGAACACAATTCTGCTGTTGAAGTGAATACTTTTTCCGAAACGGGAGAAAATGAATCTCTCTTTCCAAAGATAGAGTAACCATCATCATATGCGGTCTCGTCGTCCGGAAATGATTCATCCGATTCTTCATCACTGCTGGGGAATCGTACTCTATCTCATTTTCCTCTTCGTCTTCTCTTTTTTAAAATTACCGATTCCCGTGTCCCGTGTCCCGTTAACAGTGACAATCCCACATCTCGCTCCCTTCTTACTTCAAATTCTCGGATCCCGTCCTTCAAATAAGCCCAATCCCGGATCCCGAAAAACCTATCGGGGACCCTCCTCAATTGCCATTTAAAATCCAAGGAAACTTCTAAATTTGACGAAATTAAAGAATAGAAGTTTATCTTATTCTCAAATTTTATTACCCCCCCTAACGGGTGGTTAAGCCTCAAAAGCAAAAACAAAAAAAGTTATTTTACCAGGATTAAATAGTTAATACAATCTCAATTAAAAGAGAGCAGTAAATGTAGTAGTTCAATAGGGCAAAATGTCATATTAGTCAGTCAGCCGTATATCTTACCAAGAACACATGGCTTCAGAACTCAAGCGGAATTGTGGAAGAATACGAGAAAAGTTTGTGAACCCAATCAGAGATGAGCGAATGCGAAAGATCTACAAAGGTTTTCCATCAACATACCTAGCAATTTTTTTCTCTTTTATTTTTGCGTCAGTTTACCTTTAGGAAGATCTCTTTATTGCAGTTATAAATTAATTTAAGTATGTTTCTCGAAATTCGATCAAAATGCTCTTCATCATATGGTCAGATGATATAAAATCTGATCTGCCAGTGTGACAATTTTTTATCAACCTAAGTAGACGGTGTTAACATTATTCCGCTACGTAAATATTACGGATTTCTCCTCTGTCACCTTCATAACCTTTTTGTTTACAAACCTACAAGCATTTTTTTTTGCTCTTAATTGTTCCATCGATCTCTCCGTAATGGCTTTTGCTCGATGAGGGTGATAAATAGAGGTATGCAAACCGAACATATCCACTGTACTTTTTGGCGTAGTCCGTCGACCAGAAGCTATTTTCGATCACTTCTAGTTTCGATATATACAGTTTGTTTGTGAGTGTCTTTAGATATTTTGCTTTTCTGTAACTGACCAACACTTAGTTTTTTTAACAGTGCTCACTTCGCAAGATCCTCGGTATTTAAAATCCTCAGGCGGGCACAGTTTTTTATAAATAAAATCTGCCATCCACGAGGTTTTCAAAGGCCAAATCTGCTGGTCCGCAAACATATTTACCCTCCTGTCTATTAGGACATCATATGCTCGCAGAAACATCCAACAATTTCTTGGAAACCTTAGGCCCCATTTATATGGTCTCGGGTACCCCCTGGGGTAACTTGGCAGAGCCTTTATATGAAATTTGACATCTGCCAACCCTCGTTCTGCCAGGCCAGGTTACATACTCGACAAAATGGCGGACAACAGGAAAAGAATCGCTGTAAATGTCGTGTTTATACTATTTAGTCTGACTGCAGTGTTGTCGATGGCTCTTGATGTTTTCATGGTGCTACGTTTGGAATTGAAAACCAGTCAGGAAATGTTGATAGCCCAAGCTACATTGAGATGGAACGAGTTTATCTGTCGAACCAAGCAAAAGGGGAGTTTACAAAGAAAGGCACGCGCGTATTGGAAAAAAAAAAACAGGCGGGTTTCTTTCACGTTATGTCTCCGCTGTCCTAAAACACATGAGGAAAAGGATTGTCCCGCCCGCCACTGTTTTTATAATTTTTATTCTGCAATTGACAGGGGCATTACTTCGCTTGTTGTCATCTCATCAGTTGGACATTATTAACTTTCAAACGAAGTGGACACCGCCTTGCATATTATGTAATTCTTTTGATTGTTTCCACACCTTTTGAGTCTTCACAGTGGTTGGATTATGAAACAGCTTTGAATCAAATACCGCAAGACATATTTTTGTTTTCAAAAAAACTTACACTTGTCAGGGCAATGATAAGTTACGTAATCCTCTTGTGTAGTTTTCTTTTATTTCGGCATAAAACAGCCTGCCTTTGTTTAATGGTTTGTAACCAAAGCAAATACAACGTGGACTTGCCAAAATTTCCTCTTACTCGAAGCTCTTAATCAGCAGTATTGTAGGTCTCTTTCGTGAGAACTGTCATTAAAGTATGCAATTACCTCTAGACAGCATCTGCAAACAAAACGAAAATTATCGTCTCCATTCGTCAAGAAACAAAAGCCTGACAATTACCTTTATATATTTTTTAAATTAATAGAAAGGAACTAACAAATCATTCGTTTTTACCGAGGATAAATAGCGTCCGACATGGAGTTGCAGTGAGAAATGTCCTCGTCTTTAGCAGGAGAATATGTCGTCCTTCACGAAATCGGTGAGTTTTTTCAGATCCTCTATTTCAATGCAACAAGAATCCACAATATATTAGCGTGAGCGAGTTGTTTAGATTTTCCTTTCTGCGCGGAGTAATAACCACAGATTTTTCTGTCCACTACAAATACTTCTCCTATAAACTCAAAGAGCAGTAACCGCAGTTCTGCAAGAATAAGAGTGTAGTTACCTTTGCATGAGCTCAATGCCGCGTAACCAAATAGAGGTCGTTAGGATAAAAGGTGTAGCGACTCGAGACTATTGCATTTCCCGGCGCTATAATCCTTATTTAACTTTCGACCAAATCGTGCTCGCTGTATCAGAGTGGGATTTATTTATTTTAAGTTTTGCGATCTTAATCACAGAGTCCTTAACTGCTCTAGAAGGAAAGTTATTTTTTAACGCTGCCGAACTTTTCCATGAACCTTTTAGCAAACTAAATAGGTATTATTCATTTAAAGAATGATGTAATAATAAAAAAACAGCCTGAACATTCTTGTCATTTATTGCTTGCAGATCGAGTTTCTCGCGGTAGCTCTCTTTCTGTTCTGTTATGATGTCGCGGAAAGCAGTGAGATGCTTGGTAAGAATAGCATCAAAAGCCAAATATGTAACTGAGGAAAATATAAGTGAATAACTGATACACTTAACAACCGTTAACTGACGCAATATCAACAGTCGCGCCCCGGCCATTATTGTGCTATAGTCGTAGCATTAACTCGTAACGTTGATTCTAGCAAACGACAAGGTAATCCTCGACCAATCACAGCGCGCTTCTCTAAAATTATCTGAGCGATTAAACAAAAGGCAATTACTTGCGTTGTCAAAACTGAGTGGTTATAATTCTCCCTTAAACGGACTATGTTGTATCAACACAGATGTAGCGATCGCAAAATGCCTGAAACCGCTTGGAATGGAAAATGGCAACATTAAGAACAGCCAGATCACTGCCTCATCTCAGTGGGATGGTAACCACGCCGCCATTCAGGGAAGACTGAACTACAAGAAAAATGGACCCAAACAGGGAGGTTGGTCAGCTCGCACCAATGATCTCAACCAATGGCTCCAAATTGATCTCATTAACAAGTTTAACGTGGTGACACGAGTTGCAACACAAGGAAGAAATGCGTATAACCAGTGGGTGACGAAATACATGCTACAGTTCAGCGATGATGGAATACATTTCCAATATTATCGGGGAGAAGGAAAAGCTTCATACATGGTGGGTCAAATTTTTTCAAAGAAACTCGCACTAGCATAAACATATCATTGGAACCATAAAATACTTAAAACGACCGCTGGTTAGAAATTTTGTCAAGAAAACTTTAGTGAAGAATTGCATTTTAAATTACTTCATTTTTTTTTTCATAGAAAACGGTGAACCTTTTACGTAATTGCAAACTTAAATAGGCAGAAGCAATTCTATTATGGATTGCTTTTGACTCATGATGAAGCAACTGTCGTCAGGCAGCTTGATTTCTTTATATGTAACATATTACCTGTCATTTGCAGGAATTCGCCGGAAACACAGATCCGAACACTGTTGTTGCTCATCACTTAAATCCACCAATACACGCAGGCTACATCCGCTTTCTGCCAACAGCTTGGCATAAACACGTTTCCATGCGGGTGGAACTTTACGGCTGCAAAGGTATTTGACGATGAAATTTTCTTAATCGTAATGATCAAATCTTAGTACCATGATAACCTGCTTTCAGAACCTTCAAAAGATCGACTAACACGAAAATTCATTGTTTAGATCGTTCTTTAAGCATTTCTTTGGCTGAAAAAATAAGAGCACTTTAGTACTGAAGTTGGGAGCCTGTTATAGGAAAGTAGCTCAATGCTGAATGACTGAGTTGTCGTCTTTTGTCAACTTCAAAATCAGTGAAAAAAAAACCAGAGAATCACTTAAATTTTAGGTGTGCTGGAAATAACAATTCCACTTTTTAAACTACGAGGTAAAAATTGATATGCATGCCGAGACATTTGAGGAAAAACTGTTGCCTCTCCAAAAAATCACTTTCAATAATTGCATATACTACCTTTAAAGAGATATACCCTACTTAAAATAAATACACTTCAATTTGCCATTAAGGAAAGCCTCAGCATTCAATTTACTACTTTTCAGTTTGCGAAAAACCTCTGGGCATGGAAGATGGACGCATAGCTAACGGACAGATCAGTGCCTCGTCAGAGTGGGATCCCAATCATGCTGCCATCCAAGGCAGGCTGAATTTTAAGCAACGTGGAGCAAAACAAGGTGCATGGTCAGCACGTGCAAACAATGTCAATCAATGGCTTCAAGTTGATCTTGGTTGCCATCACACCTTAGTGACACGTGTTGCAACACAGGGAAGGAATAAATTCAACCAGTGGGTTACAAGATACATGTTGCAGTATAGCAACGATGGTATACACTTTCAGTACTACAGAGAACATGGGCATCCAAACTATAAGGTAAAATAAATGATCACAACTTTACCCTTCCAAGATTATTTCCTTCATGTATGAATAATGACTTTACAATGCTTTGACGTTACAAGTTTTGGTCAAAACTTGAAAATTAGAAGAAATTAAATATTTCTTATCGTTACTGATTAACTTAGAATTTCGTACTTCGAATGACAGTTTCTTCATTCATCTAGGTATTTTCTGGAAACAAAAACCGAGACACGATTGTTTCTCACCTTCTGAGTTCGCCAATCGAGGCTCGTTTTCTCCGTATCCGACCACTGGCCTGGTATGGGCACATATCGATGAGAGTGGAACTGTACGGATGTGGAGGTAATTACGTAAATTCTTATATCTGGGGGTCTTTATGAGGCCATTTCGAATTAAAGTACCTCAAAAGAAAAATCGTGAGGTATACTACCTATGAATTAGGTAGTATACCGCGTTTGATCACATCCTCCTGTATATTTATTTGCGCTATGTAAATATTAAATATTATTATTATTATTATTATTATTAGGAGAGAGAACCAGCAAAACTGATTAAATTAATTGTTACTCATCATTTTAAGTTAAACAACCCAAGAAGTCGCTCATACTGTACTCTAAGTGTATTATAGTCTATACTAGAAGTGGTAAACAAAACGGATTTCCTCTATACTCGATTTATAGCTCAACAATATCAATTAGCCAAATCTTTTTATTTGGATCGACTAAATCTTTTAGGATGCCAATATTGTCTCGGCGCCCTCGGTATGGAAAACCGTGCAATTTCAAACAGTCAAATAAGTGCCTCGTCACGGTGGGACGCAAATCATGCTGCAAACCAGGCCAGACTCTTTTATCAGGCAGCTGGAAAAAAACAGGGAGCCTGGTCAGCTCGTGCAAATGACGCCAACCAATGGTTACAAGTTCAACTCCCTGGCATTTTTAAGATAACATATGTAGCCACGCAAGGAAGAAATGGCGCTGACCAGTGGGTAACAAAATACATGTTGCAGCACAGCGACGATGGAGTTCACTACCAGTACTACAGTGAACACCAAGGAAGTAAGAACAAGGTAAGAATTCATAATTTCATTAAACAATAGAGGCATTGTTGCCTCTTTTATGGTGATTTAGAAAGGTGATTGAACTGAGTGGAGTGCAGTTTGGGCTAAAATCTGAAGTATGATTTCAAACCAAAATTGCACGACACAAGATTCAATTACCACTTTATTACATCCATTTTGAAATCGCTCAAATACAGGACTTGGTCAGTTCAAATATTTAGTTGGTGCAGTACTGAGCCGGTTTGAAATTAAATTCATCCATTTTTTGGGGAAAAAATAAGAGTTTTGGAAACTAAAGTTGCAAAAAATTGCCACATGATACACTATCTTTCATCTTCCTGCAATTAGATTGGTTACTTTAAACAAGCCTTGAAATCTGATTGGTTGTTTTGTTTTTAGTGTAGCCACCTCATTAGCTGGGAAAAAGATGCAATTTAAAGCAAAAAATGGTGCGATTCGTGAATAAATCGCACCAATTAGAGCCAATCAGATTACAGGGACCACCATGTGATTTCAAAATGGGTGTAATAAAGCATCTATTGTCTCGGTTATCAAAAATAAAAAAAACTAATTGATTTCTTACCCCTGTTTTCGATAGATTTGCACTCGATGCCGATGGAACATTCCTTTTTCCAACGAAAATTATTTGAACTTTTCTACCTTTTCCGAAATTGAAACTTCCTTTCTCTCACAGCAATATGTTTCACCAAAGGATCATTAGGATCTCTTGGTTTTACTGAGTCATATCGCTAATTTACTCAACTCAAAAGTTATGGTTATGCAAAAACTCGTAAAAAAAAATTCTCCCCATTTTGATATTCCTCATTGTTCAAAAAATGAGTGAATACTTTTAAAATTGTATAATAATATTACCTTTGCAGGAATTTAGTGGAAACACTGGCCGCGACACTGTTGTTTATCACAAGTTAAATCCATCAATCACGGCACGTTACATCCGTTTTCGGCCTGTTGCTTGGCATCGCCATATATCTATGAGAATGGAAATCTATGGGTGTGAAGGTAATCACGCTTGAAAAATAATTCAAGATAGATATCTATATTAAGCAAGTTTTCAAGGGATAATACTATTTAATCTTCAGGGAAATAAATGAAGTGCTCTCTTTAAATTCAAAACAAGACCCACGAGTGAAATTTTGGTTGCAGGCTTGTTATTCACAACGCAAAATATGACTAGATTGAGAGATGTCCTTTCTTTACAAAAATCTTCAACTGAAATCATTATTCTATACAAATACTTTGGCGCATTTAGATAACTAGGTGTGTATTTTAATGATGAATTTTTAAAATCTTCAGTATGCAATCACGCTCTCGGCATGGAAGATCGTGGAATCTCTAACTGGCAAATCACCTCGTCATCTCAGTGGGATTCAAATCATGCTGCCATACAGGGAAGACTCTTCTTCCAAGCAGCTGGACGTAAGCGAGGGGCCTGGTCAGCTAGAGCAAATAATATTAACCAGTGGCTCCAGATTGACTTGGGTTGTGGAGACAACATAGTGACACGTGTTGCGACACAAGGCAGAAATGCAATCAACCAGTGGGTTACAAAATACATGCTGCAATACAGCAATAACGATGCACATTTCGAGTACTACAGGGAGCAAGGACGATCACAAATCAAGGTGAGGCCTGGTCCATTAAACGGAAAGAAATACAATACAAGCTCTATATTCTACAAGCACACCCTTGGCGAACTATCAGATTGCCATTACATCTAGCAATACCAAACAGATCATATTTTTATTTTCAAACATCAGTTTTTACTATTACAAGGGCTTTTCCTGCGTTTTAGGTATTTACTGGAAACTCCAACCGGGATATTGTTGTTAGTCATCCATTGCATACGCCAATCGAAGCACGGTACATCCGCTTTCGCCCAAGAGCATGGCACGGTCATATATCCATGAGGGTTGAACTCTATGGCTGCAAATCAGGTAAGGGAACCAAACAACTTTTCAGAATAATGATTCCACTGCTGTATATTTTCTGTTACTGACTCGGCGAAAACATTTCACTTGCGTCCCCCTTACACAATCCTTAAAAAGTCTCGTACTATTCGCAATAGCATCTTAAACGATTCAGTCTTCATCGTCATTATCTCTTGCAAAAAGAATCATGTGCATACTTTGTTCCTCTTTTACTATTTTTACATTTTTGTCAAATCAAACAATAAGATGATTAACTATAAGAATGGTTAATTTCTCTGTACCGTTGCTTTTGAACAGTATATCACGTAGAGAAACGCGTCCCCAAGTTTGCGGATACAAACAAAATTTCGACACCAAATCAAATAAAATTATTTTCCCTTATCAAGTCAAATAGAATAATCTTGATGTTCAACCATCCCTTCTATAATTCCAGAAATGTCCAATGAAGAAAACATTGATTATTTTCCGATTTTAGGTTAGATTATTTTTCTTATTTATTACAGGTCACGCCTAAACTGGGGATGATTCCATCAAGTCTCGGTGCCTTCAAATCCAACATTTTCACCCTTTACTTAAGAAAGTAAATAAAGTGAATTCATAAAGATAAAAAATGGTATCAATCGTTGTATTTTTGACTTGATCCATGGAACATGAATATAATGCCTTAATAAAATACCTCTGATTTTATTAAACAAAACACTGGAGTGGCGTAGTTTCAGCATGACAACAACATCCATTGTGTACAAAAAAAGGTAGAATTTAATGGTCTTTCAGTTAGAAAAATTTCCAGTGATAAACAACAAAATGGAAGGAGTGGATTTGTAAAATTTTCGAGCAATTCAGTAAGCTGAATAAGTCATTGAAGTCCGAATCCGCTTTGGTGAAAGAGCGTTTAGAACGAAGGGTAAGACGAAGCTACGTAATACAACTCGCTACGTTCATTGATAAGTTATGAAAAGTCAGAAGACATTTGGTTTACTAAAAAAACATGCAGTTCACCTGCAAGATTCCTGTTTATTGAATACGTAGTACTTTATACGACTATACTGTTAAAGCTGTCGGGCTATGGTACAAGAATTAAATTAAATTGCTACAGAGTTATAAGTAAATGAAACCATCCCCTCGTAAAAAATCGTGCAGCCGGTAATAGCTGCCGCCGTAATTTATACTCAAACCGACTAAACCCTGTGATAACCCGGAGCGGAAGTGCGAAGGAGAACTGATAAGAAACATTATTGAAAGCAGTTAGAAAGTATTTACTGGTACTTCAATTTTCTATGGAGATACTGCCTTGCAAAAGTTGTCGACAAAAAGTGAACTCGAAAGTAAGCTTAAAGCATATATGGTACAGTTTCAGTAACATGGTTTCTCACAAGAATAAAGACTAGCACCAAAACTACCATTCAATCGTGTTTTTATAGATTATCAAATTGATGAGGATAAGAAAAAAAACTGTTTAGACGTAAAGAGCTGGGCGGAAATGTGGTCGATAAACCTTGCTCCTCGCGTATTCTTTATAGTTCACTTGCTCTCTAACTCCCGTATTTTATTTCTGTTTCGGAAACCATGGCATAACATGATAGTAGCGACAAAATTTTCCAATATTTCCGCCCTCGGATCCTTCGATGCAAAAGCCTCGTGGAGTTTCAGAGTAGCAGATCAAAAATCAGAGAGCTGGTAACACTTCATTTATTTTAAGCCTTTTCAACGTGACCTTCTCCCCTTCGCCTAGTCTAGTTAAGATTTGACGTGCGTGATCGATAGATGATGCTAATGATGAGTTTGTAATAACGGTTGTGACGCTGTATACTCGCGCGTGTTTTTGCAGTCTTTGAGAAATTTACAGGAAAAATGCGCCACAGAAAGTCAAGAGAGATGAAATTTTGACAGCGTGCGCGCTCTTTGTAATATGCACTCGTGTTACAACTTTGCACTCATTTCACATGATAAATGAAGTCGTTTTCAGCTGGTTAGAAGAGTGTTATTTTTCCATGCACATTATTATAGGTGTAAGAGCACAAACATCTGCTTATTGTAAATATTACACCGATAACTTCTTTGTACTGGAGTTCTCTCGTACCACACACGAGTCGATGACCAAGTGAGTGACTAAGACAACTTCTCCTTACTATTTCTATACAATATGATACAGACCAGTTATGAGAATAAAGAAAAATATTAATTATGGGATTACTAATTGATCCGATACCAAATTCTCCAAGCTAACATAATGAGAATCATGGGAATGAGGATTAAGTGCTCTTCTCGTCACACTTTTGCCCCCATAGACTCGATTTTCAGAGGCCATACTCCCTCCAATCTCTACCGCCTAGAGTAAGTTTAGCGGAGGCCCACTCCCTCCAGTCTGAGAGGAAGCCTAACTTGCTCATCTTTACGCAAGAATGTTCACGGTGGCCTGAAAGAAGGCAAACTCCCTTCTCTTCATCTATTCTATGCATCCCCTAAGCTTTTAGGGGTCCACGGGGCTAAAATATTGATTGAGCACCTTGTCAACCGCCTCCCCATTTCCAGCCACAAAAAGTTGTTGTTGTTGTTATTTTTAAGAGAAACATGGGGAAGTTGATTGAATCGGAAATATATCATATGCAGGTGATTTTGCTGTGTCATATGATCACTAGTCTATCCTGTTTAGAGGCTTGTGATAATCCGAGGCAATATGTTCGATCTTTACCCTTCTGTTTTAAATAATTTCAATCGTGACGGTATATTTCTTTATCAATAATCTTACGATTTAACCACTGCATTTCAATTGTTCAGACAAGAAGCGACATTCCAGATCACTAAGATATCCTGTTCCGAACAATCTGCGGCAATATGTTCGATTTTGATCTTTCTGTTTCAACTAATTTCAATGGTGACAGTATATCTCTTTATCAAGAATCATACTATTTAACCTGTTGCATTTCTATTGCTTCAGACAAGAAGCGGCATTTTAGACCACACTCGTTAATATGATAATAGTAATCAATAATTATTCACCGGAGGGGAAGTAAACAGCTGTGGATATTCACCGAACTGTGCCATAGAGGTGAATAATTGTTTTAGTACAAATGTACCACACAGGAATAATAAATTTAGCCTGAAATCAACCTTTCAACACACGACTTTGTCTCTTTGCCTAATCGGAATTGAATAGTACTCGCTAATCACTTCTGAACAAGAGAAAAGTCCGTGCAGTTTCTTGTTGGGTCCTTTTCGACTAACTGTTGGCAGTCACAAGTTACTAACCTGTTCACTTGTTGAACATGAGAATTAGCTAGAAAGATGATGAGATGGTTTCTCACGTCAACAAATGGTTTCGTTTTGTTTCGTGTTTTTTCGTTTCGCAACTTAAATTATCACGTGCACTGTAAATATGGTACAGCTGATAGGTCATAATTTCTTGGTCTTTTTGATTTTAGAGGTTGATTTCTCGCATTTGTTCCACATCAGCAGATTTCTCTGCATTTTCATGACTTGGTTTCGCCGAGTAAATCAGTGGTTAAGATCTCAGTGGCTGCAAACAACGATAGCCTACCTCGCTTCCAAAGATTACGTAATAACCCTGATTGTAATGATATCTGCTAATTCTATCATTAGCACCACTTTGTCAGGGTTTTTTTCTCAATTTCTTTGTTTCGGTTAATATCACAATCTTTATTGTCATCCCACTGTCCCTTTTTCCATCGACACGAACAAAAAATTTCTCGGCTTTGGAAAACCCGTGAGATTTTTGCGGTGAACATTGAAGCATTCTTAGGAACAATTATGATTTTATCCGTGAGTGCAACTAATCAACAAATTTTTAATAATCCTCCCTCCAGAACCGACTTCGAAGTGTTTATCGACACCAAATCATTACTGCATACAAAAGAAAAGTAGCGACGGTATTTCTTTTTACAAAACTAAACAAGGAAGCAATCGTCACCACAGAGAAATAGGCTTCATTGTTCGGTCCAAAGGGAATAAATAAATTTGGAGATAAATTTTCAAATGGAAATTTCTTCTTGTACTTTCGTTGAAGAACTTGCTGCCTCACGTATAATTGGTGAGTTTCGTATTTTTAATCTTACATTACAGTCCACCAAAAATTATTTCTTAGATGGTCAACAGGTCTCCCTTCCATAATTCGGGTACTCCAAGAAGCACTTTGCTCACTGCTGGTGCTAGTAAGTCCTTTTGGTCAATAAGAGAAACCGACTCAGTCTAAGAGTAGCGCTAACTTATCTAGGAATAAGGAAAACAGGTGTGGCGATTCAATGTTCAGTCAATTTATATCATCTCAAGCTGTACGCTAACATCTTCCGAAGTTAATTTGCTCGTTTTATACGTGAACATTGCGAAACCGTATTGTAACTTTAGTTTCTCAGTTTGATCCATTAATCAATGTTCAATCTCTTAACCTACGCATGTTTTTGCATCAATCGAGATGATTTACACAATATTTGCTCTTTCATTATTGAGAACTTTTAAAGGCATTTCCGATTAATTCAAACGGAAAATCTTATTCTCGTGTCAGCGCTTTGATTGCATCGAACAATAGCTCTGGAGCTTCCACTCTCATGAGTTATAGGAATAAACAACAGTTTAACAATTTTCTCATAGGGATTTATGGCCTGCAGATGAAAATGCTAATGTTTGGAACGATCTTGTTTCTTTCTGGTGCTGTAGTCCTGGGAAGCAGCACAACGCCTGGTAGGGAAAAAGCATTGTACACTGTCGACAAACATGAGTGTCAATAGTGTCTAAACTTCAATATTCTAACTGAACACGCTGAATGCAAGCTGTGTACTCATAACGAAAGATCAATGATTCAGTTTATTGGTAGGAAAACCTACTATAGTACATCTCAGAAAGTTGGAGTTATTTTAAGGTTAGAGGTTACTTCAACGAGGAAATTGCAAAGTTTTTCTTCGCAAAAATTAAAGAGATGTTTGAAAATGAAAGATTTATTAAAGTGAATCTGTTTTTTTGAAATTTCAGATTAGCGTCATAATTTCTCAACTTTTCCAGAGGTATAGACCATTCTAATCCTGTACACTCTTTAACACATTCTTTCGAGTCACAAAACACAATTTGTTTCCATTAATTCATTTGCAGAGGTTTCAAAATGCGATAAATCCTTTGGCATAGAAAATGGCAAAATCGAGAACAGCCAGATCACTGCCTCATCTCAATGGGATGGTAATCACGCCGCCATTCAGGGAAGACTGAACTACAAGAAAAATGGACCCAAACAGGGAGGTTGGTCAGCTCGCACCAATGATCTTAACCAATGGCTCCAGATTGATCTCATTAACAAGTATAACAAGGTGACGCGAATTGCAACACAAGGAAGAAATGGAGCAGATCAGTGGGTTACCAAATACATGCTTCAATACAGTAATGATCGAGCACACTTCCAATTTCATCGGGAAGAAGGAAAAGCTTCCTACAGGGTGAGTCCAAAGTTTTACTTAAAATGAACCATAATGCAAAGTTAATCATTGTAACCTCAGGCGTCACCCACATGACGTTTTAGTGATTATTTTGACATCACATCATAAATTTCGACTCCCTTATTGGCTGTTATACACTTTATATAATTTTAGCTGCGATAATTGGGACGTAGGTGTTGAAGCAAGAAGCTAAGAAGATCAAATTTATTCCAACTTCCACAAGAAAATAGCGAAGTAAAAAACGTATTAAGAATCGATATTCTGTTAGGGCAGACAGAGTAGGCACTGGTAGCTACCTGGTATTGAGTGGGTGGAAAGCTTCAGAGCTTGATCTATTGCACATCATATTCGCGGAAATTCCCAACCACATTTCTAAGCATTAACTATGAACTGCGTGTAGGTATTTACAGGAAACACGGATCGGGACACAGTTGTCACTCATCATCTAAATCCCCCAATCAGAGCACATTACGTACGTTTTCTACCAAAATCTTGGCACAGACACATTTCCATGAGGGTTGAACTTTATGGATGTAAAGGTAATAACTCGTGGTTGTACTGACGATATTTTAATAGATGTTCTACATTTATTCTTTTGAGATAAAACTCAATAAATTTTGACAAGAATAGCTTTTTAATTAATGCGGCCAAACTGAAAATTGAAGCCCGTGTTTTTCCGTTTTGGGTGATCAAACAGTCGTACTTTCTAAAACTCCCAATGTCGAAGGCTCGACAACGTTACTCCTCAAAGAAAAGGAATGTAACTCTTGATATACATACAACCTGAAGCGAATCAGATAACAGTAAGGAAATGTTGCAAGTCACATTTTGCAGCGATTTAAAAGTATTTGAAACATAAAAGACAAACCTCATCGAGAGCTCCAATTTGATGTTCCTATTAAATTTTCAGCAAATATCCATCACCCGGTAATTTTACCATTTTTATTGATCGCATTTATCTTTTCTATCATTATTAATTTTCAATTCAATTTTATGATGACAATTCAACACGATATGTCAAACATCTTGCTTTATTTGGTTCAATCCACCATTTTATCAAAAATTGATATTTCATTCCCAATTATTAGTATGTAATAAACCTTTGGGCATGGAAGATGGACGAATTTCCAATGGACAAATTAGTGCCTCCTCAGAGTGGGATCCCAATCATGCCGCCATCCAAGGCAGGCTGAATTTTAAGCGACGTGGAGCAAAACAAGGCGCGTGGTCAGCACGTGCAAACAATGTCAATCAATGGCTTCAAGTTGATCTTGGTTGCCAGTACACCAGAGTGTCACATGTTGCAACACAAGGAAGGAATGGATACAACCAGTGGGTTACAAGATACATGCTGCAGCATGGCAGCAACGAACTACACTTCCTGCACTACAGAGAACATGGGCAGCCTGACTACAAGGTAGATAGAAGGAAAATAAGATTACTCTCATTGACTACGAGTTACTGCTTCGACTAAAAGTCTACCATTTAACTCTCCAATCGCATTCAATGTTCCCTGAAGTACACATGTTTGAAGATCAGAACACGATATGCTCAAAACAATTTGTTTACTGAAAATTTTAAAGCATGGATGAGAAGAATTTGTTTTTTTTCAGAGCTCTTTCAACTCCTTTTTATCTTTATTGCATCTATGAGATCTTATTCTTCAAATGACGACATGATCTTCATCGATTTAGGTGTTTGCTGGAAACACCGACCGAGACACTATCGTTTCGCACCTTCTCAGCTCCCCAGTCTCTGCGCGGTTTATCCGATTTCTGCCTACAGCCTGGCATGGACACATATCTATGAGAGTGGAAATTTACGGCTGTGGAGGTAACCAAAGTGAATAAAGTGCTCAATGCTGATTTAATAAATTTTGGCGAGGGTACGATATGAAGGTTGGGTGTTATACTATCCAAAATGCAATTACTTTTGTCTATATTCTGATTCTCTGTATTTTCCATATCATGGCATGAAACGAAGTACTCGAGTAGTTGGAGGCTTTAATGGTAAATTCTTTGAAAATGAGCGCAGTTTTCTTTCAATTGATCGAAATAATCTTTTAGGATGTAAGGACTGTCATGGCGCCCTCGGTATGGAGAACCGTGCAATCTCAGACAGTCGAATAAGTGCCTCGTCTCAGTGGGACGCAAATCATGCCGCAACCCAGGCCAGACTCTTCTATCAGGCAGCTGGAAACAAACGGGGAGCCTGGTCAGCTCGTACAAATGATGCCAACCAATGGCTTCAAGTCCAACTCCATACTATTTATAAGATAACATTTGTAGCGACACAAGGAAGAAATGGCGTCAACCAGTGGGTATCAAAATATATGTTGCACTACAGCAAAGATGGAGAACACTTTCAGTACTACAGAGAGCGAGGACACAATACGAATAAGGTAAGAATGAATAGGGATAAAAAATAAACACGTCAGTGTGAACTCTCAAGAATTTAAGCAGCGATATTTTTTCGTGTCTTCCAATTTATCAGTGTTGGCAGTCTTCTTTAATATCCAAGTGATATTTCTGACACTCCCTCTTTGAGAAATATCGAGCTCTAAGAGTACTAGCTGGTCCAAAATCTCAGAAGTTTTCTTTCCGTTTTGATATTTTCCACGTATCCCACACGGATATGGGATCAAGGATCCGGTTACTGGCAACTCGTTCATTGTATTATTGGAATATATCAAATGCTTCCTTGAAGTTCAAACTTCAGTAACTTCCTTAAACTAAAGTTATAACTCTCACACCTTTCCTTTTGAATCGTCTCGTTATCAAATTTAGAGAAATTAGCTTTTCAGCATAAAAGTACCCTCATAGGGATATCTCTTCATCATTCGCTGCCGATGTCTTCGCTTCCGCCCTCCATTTTTTTTTCTCTACTCTGGCTTCAACAAATCTTAAATTATACAAAGTGTCATAACAATCGATTTTTAAGAACTGTTTAAAAGTTTTGGTTCAAATGCAACGACAGCCGTTTGCCAAAACGTCATCAAATTATAATCCCTCACACGGTCGATTACTCTTTGTAGGAATTTAATGGAAACGTTGACAGAGACACAGCTGTTTATCACGAGTTAAAACCACCAATCACAGCTCGTTATATTCAGTTTCAACCTATGGCTTGGCATCGCCATATATCCATGAGAGTAGAAATTTATGGGTGTGCAGGTGATATCATTTACATGTAGTTTAACTCGTTACGCCCTAACATCAATATGCATATTCCCTGTACTCCTTTTTAATCATTTAGAGATGAATTTGTTAAAAATCAAAAGCTTCCTTAGTTTGTATTCATGTCCTTAATTCTCGTGACTTTTATATTTGATTCAAGTGTGAAATAATAGGGAAAAATTAGATGCTCCAAAGGATTTAAAATGTCAAACGAAAACAATCGGTACTAACCGCTTCTTAAAAGTGCTTCAGTTTTAGAGATTACTGGACAACGGCCTCATTTAGTCAAAAAAGCATATTTTGAAAAAAATTAAAATCGTGTCATTCTGCAATAAATGAGCTCAATGTTATCATATGCATCTCGCAATTTTGATACCTATAGCATGCAGCAGAGCTCTCGGAATGCAAACCCATCAAATCCCTGACTGGCAAATCACCTCCTCGTCTCAGTGGGATGCAAATCATGCTGCCATCCAGGGAAGACTCTTCTTCCAGGCTGCTGGGAACAAACAAGGAGCTTGGTCAGCTAGAAAAAATGATATCAACCAGTGGCTCCAGATTAATTTAGGTTGTAACGGCAACACGGTGACACGAGTTGCGACGCAAGGAAGGAACGCATACAACCAGTGGGTTACAAAATACGCGCTGCAGTACAGCGGTGACGGGTTACACTTTCACTTCTACAAAGAAAAAGGCCAGTTAAAAAATAAGGTAAATCTTGACCTATATTTCATCAGAGTTGTAGACTCTATATGGCCTCAGAAGTCTATACGACTTTAAAGGCGTTATTCTCGGTGGATGTTTCCTTGTATAGCCATACATAAGAACTAACGAAAGGAAGGAAAGCGATGAGATGTTACTCGCCAGACATTGAATCAATACAAAGCAAAAGAATTAGACTGCTATAATTTCGTCGTGTGCTTAAACACCAGAGTAAAATTCATTCGTTGCAGGAACTCAGTAAAACATTCCTGACGCAAAATTCACTTGTCGATACTTGAAATATGTTTCACTTTGATAATTCCACATGGCAAATTTTAAGCCTGGTTTTCATTTTTTTTTTAATTTAAAACTACAAAGGAATTTCGTGGAAACAACGACCGAGACACTGTTGTTTCCCATTATCTGAATCCCCTGATCAAGGCACAGTACATTCGTTTCCGCCCAATAGCTTGGCACGGTCACATATCAATGAGGGTTGAACTTCATGGCTGCAGATCAGGTACTGTCAAAGATATTTATTTAGTGGCCTTTCTTTCCCTCTTCGAAGCCATCTTCCGAGACTTGCAAACCCAAAAATTTTACTTTCACACAACAAATTTGACTTGATATTTCAAGAAGTGGTGAACATGCATTTGACATACGAAACAATGAAGCTTTTAAATTTATCCGTTAATTGGGTTGTACATATTATAGTTCAGTAGCTAACAGACAACGTTTACCAAAAATATACTGATTTAAAGGAATCATCTCCTCATCTCCATCAAGAAATTTGTAACTCCCATAACATTTTTTTTCTGTAAACTATAAATAGCATTATATTGTGAGGTTTTTTTTCATGCTTTTATTTCAGATTCCAAGTGAATAAATGAGAGTGGTGACTTAACCCAGTTGCAGGAAAAATGAGCAGCGTTTTGGTGGCTTCTAACTCCGTGCAATCTTTGCCAATGACTGTACTCTAACATGAATAAATTGCCATTTGCAACTAAATGCATTTTTTGAATCAGAGTTGTAATCTACTTTTTGAGCCCCATTATTTCGTGTTTCGTGTGCAGTCCACAATGATAAACCTTATAGATTATTTTGCCACGTGCAATCTATCGACTCCTCTTTCAGGAATCCAATCAAACCAAGCATTTTTCTCTCTGAGGAAAGTGTTTATACAAATTTTGAAGAGGATCTTACCCTGTAAAAAAATTGTCATTTTCCAGACAATAAATTCAACTGGATTGAGAATACCCTTCCACGAATACCCTTCCAAATCTTATCAGTCAAGCCCTCAAGATACGACAAAATTTCATTTCCGTTCCCATACGAGTTTCTATACTAACACGACCTTAAGTCCGCATGTCCGCATGTTAGAGGGAAGAGGGGGACCGACGAGAACTTTTCTCTAAGTAAGTCAATAGACAATTTTTTTTCGTTGCAATGCAACAAAAAACTTGCTCGTTCGTGTTTTTGATACATCCGAACTCGGGGATAAAAAATCCTCCGTGCGCACTTTCCGTGAAATAATCTTTGTTAACGAGGCAGGCCTCTTAAAATCTTGCAACTTATTTACGTAGAAATGTCTCGGAAGCTGAGGGGAATTTCGATTTTAGCGCTCGAAGTGAAAAGAGTTAAAACGCTAATACCGAGAGATAGGGATGATAGAGACTTGTAAACTTCTTTAAGAAGATGCATTAAATGCATCTAGTTCCGATGAAGGCGGAAAGATTACATCAGCGTTTTTAGAACAGTATTCCTTTAATTCCCTCGAATATTTTATTGGATTAAAACCCACCGATCTGGTTCAATTCTCTCTCCTTTAAAGGCTGTCGGGCTGAGGTTGATTCGAACGAAAATAAAAAATTCAACTCGAAGCTCCTCGAAAGGCTGATAAATGTAAGACATTTTACAGTCGGGTGTGATGAATTAGTTTTCTTGTTTTCGTAAACACATAGCAGAATTAACCAAGATAATCTAAGTAATCTTTTACAACCGCGGATCAGTAAATAAAACTTTGATTCCTTTTCCACTCCAAACAACAAAACAATTCAATTGCTCATTTCTCTTCAAGAAACAAAGAAGATTTTTCAAAATTGTAATAAATCAAGAGCAAAACAAATTTGCCTTAACTCCAGAAAATTCAAAGCGGAAATTCTTATCTTGTGAATTCCTTAATTAACTTGGTCTTGACAGGTATAAAACTTGGAATTTCTGAATGGCAAATTTTTGCACGTTCGAACGAAATCAAATATTGCATAACCAGCTCAGAATTTGAGATTGGGCTACAACAATTAAGGCAAAATATTTCAAACCTTTTCTCATGTAATCAGTTGTTAAATGACCGGAAATTAACTGCCTCGTGTGTTTTCTACACTCAAAACCTACGCCTTGGAAAGTCACGTCTTTTGGAAAGAAACCAACCCGTACTAATTCCTCACCCGCCCACTACCAAATCTATGTATGTCATTACAGTTTGCCTTTTAATTACAACTCATGGCTAAAAATTCTCCCCTAAAAAGCACGTTTCTTGAAGCTTTGAAAAACTTTCGCTTGCTTTTATAGACTAATCCTACTCAGCCCATTTGTGCATTAAAAGCACATGCAAAAGAACAGGTATAGAAAACGGTAGAAGTAGGCTTGGAAAACGTTTCCCAACAAAAATTTAAAACCAGTACATCGCCCCTGAGTTCGACAGCAGGCATTCTCGCAACAGAATTAAAAAAAGACCTGATTTAAGCTATGTTTGAGCTGAAAAAGGGAATTTCTCATATAGGGCTTCTTTTCACTTAAAGTCGTCTAAACTAATACAGTAATTCTGCTAGTGAGAAATTGCACCCTTGCAAGATTGTTCTTCTCGATCCTTGAGAGCATCCGGTGACTTAATAATCTTTCTAAAGCAAAGTAGATAAAAGTGGAAGTGCGCATGGTGATTGGGGAAATTACACTACAGCGTCAAATGAGAAAGACTACATTTCCTTCCCCTCCTCTCCCCACGCATGTTGGTTGCTGTTTTGTTCATGCCATACAATCTGAGCAATCAATGAAATACCAATTTCTCTGGCTACTTTCCCGTTTTCCGAAACAGTTGTCTTGTTTTGAGTTAGAAGAGCGGTTTCCCCTTGTTGTTTTATTTCATATCCCTAAAAACTGCTGACCGTTAAGCAAACTACTGCATCGTTAACAGGATCTGCACAAGAAAATGCATGCATATTACAATTATTTAAGTGGATATATGCAAAACGCATGTAGTCTGTCAAAATTAGACAATAATTAGGTTTTTGGAGAAGACGAATTGTCCAATTCTTGACCATAATTTACCGGGGCATGATTAAGTTAAGACTAACTCAAGACCATGCAAATGCGGTCATGATTGATCACACTATTAGGTCTCAACCACAAAGTTTAAAGATCTTCTGCCATCTTGAGAATCTTGTTGAACCATCTTGAACAAGTTATCAGCATATAAATGTACCTCTCAGCCAGCAGGCCATAGTTAAATACAGACACGTACTGAGGTTTTAATTACGGATTTGAGGCTAAACTGCAACAACGTTGTCTTGGAAGCACAGAAAAAAAGAAACGCATAACAAAATTCCTTTTTGTAAAAAGTTCTTAAGCATGTTCACATGACTTTGCACTTGTTATTGCTTGTAAACCAATAAATCACTCTGTCTTTCTCTAAAAAATCGTTGTGAGGAAATAGACAAATTGACTCGCCATTTTGGGGAGCAGGATAAAAATAGCAGAAACAGCATTGCCTCACTATGCTTGAAGCCGACGCTGATTTCCGGAGAATCTAAGCTAATAAAAGAACAACTGGGTATAATGTAATTATTAATTATTTAACCTTAATCTTTGGCGGTTTGCGAATTTCGTCTCTTTTCTTAAAAGTAACCGCATCCTTTCATAACTCATTTGATTTACCTTAAATTATTTCCAAAATAGCTGCTATATTTGCACAAAGCACGCGCAAGGCGGCTTGTTGACAATTGATCACAACGCCGCGGAAACAGTTTATTTTGTAAGTATAAATAAAAGAAACTTAATTACCATAATTGACGTATTTCAATGAATGTGGACGTGTGTTTATTTCTTTTGTTTACCAATTTCGGAGGGAATGATGAGGGAGGTATGTTATACTAACCGATGGCGGTCTTTCGGAAACCCGCAACTCGACATAACTAGACATTCATACAGATAATTGAATTACATGTTTTACATTTGTCGCAGTTTTTTGTCAGCTGTTTTAAGGAAAGCACGTCCGATTTTGTTTTTTTTTTCATGAATTTCGCTTCTCCTACTTAGTATCTCATCAAACACTTCAAGCTACGCTCTGACAGCAATCCACTTTGATTAAGCAAGAACACGATGAAGTGAAAAACGGCGGGAAACGAAAGAGCGCGTTTCCGACATGATTTCATCCTACTAGTTATCGGCGAGACCTATAGGGTAACATATAAACCATCGTCAACTCAGCCAAAACCGCCTGTTTACAGCAATGAAAGGAATCACTATGAGTTTTTTCTATCGCTCTCTCTCAGTCTAGAACTCTATTTGTTCTGCGGAAACTTACTGCGGTTAAAGTGAGTCTATACGAAAATATCAAATTAAGTGTGAAGTACTTGTAATTAACATGGAAGACGAACGAGAATTTCCTGATCAATCGTTATGTGCTATTTATTTTTCTCGGCATTTTAACTCGCAGAAATAAATCCAAATCAAATGAATCCTCCTTGTGCTTCTATATGCTCGCATTTAAGGTGATTAGTGTTAAATTTAAGATTTTCCGACACCCAAATTGATTTGGTGCAATCCAAAACCGCAGTTTAGTTTTTCAAAAGCGCACTAGCACACTTCAGCTCATGCCGCATAGAGAAAATTCGAGATATGTGACCTGATCGGTAACGAAAATTTGAAAAATTTTTCATATCGCTAAGATTTAGTTGACGTAGTATGTGGGTTGTTGAATTTTGGCGTCAGAGGAGGTGACTCCTGTCATGAATTTTTTTCAGTAACATTGAGGCTAGAAGCATTAATCAATCCTGATCATGAAGCTACGAAAATTGGGCATTCTGAGCAGTTTGTCATTTCTTAGAGGCGTTTCTCAAAGTTTAGAGAAAGACTTGATTCTCACTTGTTGTTGTGGACAAATTAAAATTTTTAGATTCTTCAAGGCTGACTTGTTGTGATGAAGGATGGGAGTCCTGATCCGTGTCAAAGTAATTTTCCTCCATTTGACAAGCGAGCTCAGTACTTTTCCATCTCTCTTGCTCCACACAGGATCTTTTTTCGACATTGCGACCTTCGCAAGTTAGAACATCTTTTACATCGTCTTATTAAAGACTCCGGTTTCCTACGCTTACCAAAGAAGTTAATTTTCTGAGTATCCACGTGCACGAATTGGAAAGATTACAGTTTCGAATCCCTTTACCCTACCCTCGAAAAAAAATTAATCATCTTCAATAGATTTAGGAATTCATGTCCAAAAAAGAGTATGTTAATTGCGCAAAACGCTCACTGCAGCTTCAGATGAGGGCCAACCTCTTTACTGTATCAAAGTTTTACGAAAGTCATGCAAGCTTTAGCTAGTACAGAGGAATATCGATACACAAAATCCATATTAACGTTCTCTGTATATTTTACACCCTATCTTCATTCTTTGTGCAAAATCTTACCGCACATCTGTGAGTTTTGCGCAACTTGAAAATAGGTCTTCTAGTCGTACGTGTCTCTATTCATCTGGACCAACCAAAAATGTTTTGCAAACCAGACACTCACAAGACAATTGAACCTAATCGTGATATCTGATGTTTTGTTTTGTTTTGTTTTGTTTTTCTTTTTTGACAACCAAAACTGTTTAATCTCGAATGGATTTC